CTTGGATGTGGTAGCCGTTTCTCAGGCTCCCTCTCCGGAATCGAACCCTAATTCTCCGTTACCCGTTGTAACCATGGTAAGCCAATACCTTACCATCGAAAGTTGATAGGGCAGAAACTTGAATGAAGCATCGCCGGCACAAGGCCATGCGATTCGATAAGTTATTATGAATCACCAAACACCGGGCAAGCCCGCATTGGTTTTTGATCTAATAAATACATCCCTTCCGCAAAGTCGGGACTTTTCGCATGTATTAGCTCTAGAATTACCACGGTTATCCATGTAGTAATGTACGATCAAATAAACGATAACTGATTTAATGAGCCATTCGCAGTTTCACAGTACAAGTGCTTATACTTAGACATGCATGGCTTAATCTTTGAGACAAGCATATGACTACTGGCAGGATCAACCAGGTTGCTATTCACAAAGCAATTATACTCAATTCACAATCAAGTACTTAAAATAAGTACAATCTTGCACAATTGAACTATAAATTACTCTGTTGAACTATCAAAATACAATGATAGCTCATAGTGCTACAACAATTTGTATCAAGGTATCTAATCTTACTTGACATTTCCGTCACGGGAATGAAGTAAGAAATACCTATTTTATTTGCCACATCTTTGACACTTCTCCTTACTGGTAACCCATGAAGTTTTTCAATCGATCGATAAAATCAATGTTGAAGATTCATAGTGCATACACAGTATTTGATGAAACACAAGGTTTCAATTTGCTAGGTTTGTATAGATTGGCATTGCCTATCACATACAACCACATCGTAAGCGATTTGCATCGCGATTGATGCATACAGTTGTGTTCGATCGCAATGATCTTACAGCAATTGTATAGATTACAGTCACATAGCCTTAGTCTAGCAGTAATGAGACAAGATTGTTCGATTTACTGCCTTACTAATGGCTTATATCAACTGACTGTCGATGATAGAGATTTGTTCGACCAATTGACCCAGTGGATTAGACTGGTATATGATCAAAACGCTATTGGAGTATTTTTTCCGATTTCGAATTTTACTCCTCATATAAACAGTCGAAAACGGCTAAGATAAACCGGATAATCGGTCTTTGAAATTCCCTCAACAATTTACTCCCGCATGCGTAGTATCAATTTAGATTTTTTACAGAGGGTACAGCAATACGTCTTATACTGTACTGTATTGTTCTTCACATGCGTAGAGCAACCTTGTGTTGATTGAAAGTGCATGTGGGACTGTGGGTATACAGTATGTCTGCTGGTCAAGACATCGAGACTTTGACCTGCACACTGGACAGAATAGCGTGCAGTAGGCATTGGCAATCAGCAACGCCACTGCTGTACTTGTTATGGTGTAATATGTGTACAGAGCCTAGTACGGTACCGTATGTGTCCTGTCAAGTCCAGTCCACCCTCGTGACGTTAATCTTACAGCCTTCATACATACGCCAGCTTCTCAATGTTAGATAGTAAATAAATAAATTACTAAATACAGTACAGTACTATACGATTACTTAAAAAGTGGGGTACAGTAGAAGCATCCGCGATCTGAAATTCGACTCAACTAGTGGATGCACAGTATTATACAAGTTTGAGATTGAAATAACTATTCGAATCAGTTTTAATTGAAGTTTAGAAATGAATAGCGTAGCCACTTTCTTTAGTAATCCTACTCTCGTAGTCGATTTTCAAAAACTATGTGGCGTTCAGGTTTTATCTAACTCGTCTAACGATTCGATTGGTAATTGCACCTCGGACGAGTCTTCAAGCAACTATCCCAAAAAGCGGCGCCACGGTAATAATCCTGCGAAAAAGCTGAAAAGTAGGCAAGATGATCCATCCGTCATAAATTATCTGATTACCAATAGATTCCTTCACGCGCTATTCCACGCTGGAGCGTTTTTATGTAATGAAGGTTTCTACGTCATTGTTTTCCCTTTCCTGTTATTTAATATCGATCAGTGTGCATTTCGACAAGGTTGCTATTATTGGTGCCTTGTTATGTACATTGGACAGGCTGCCAAAGACATCATCAAACAACCTAGACCTCCATCTCCTCCAGTTGCCAGATTAGAATCTCGCTATGACACTGAATATGGTATGCCTTCCACCCATGCTATGATGGGAACAGCGATGCCGTTTGCATTATTCTATAGCACTTACCTGCGTTACGAGGTATGCATTGCATATGCATATTAAGAAATGAGATATTACTTCAGAGTTTGCCCGTAACTTACACTCTTTACAGTATACACGTTCTGTATTATTGTTTAATTAAGAACTATGTACTCTTACGAATGTATACTGCAGCAACCAGCAAAGCTCGCATATTCATAAGTTACGATTATCTGAGCACAGCTCCCAGTACGCTTTTCTATGATGGATGCAACGCAGACATTTTATAATTAACATGGAACTGTTTAATTACTCTGATAGTATCCGAAATGGTTAGGTATTACGATTGCCTGTTCTTGGACGATTCTTGTTTGCTTATCAAGATTATACCTAGGGATGCATGACTTGTGGGTTAGTATTCGTAAATTCGTATGGTTTATTAGCATCTATACTTGTATAAAAGCATCAAGAATACCATAATTTTGTGTAATTATGTAGAGATATTAATGTGTATACTTAAGTATAGCCAATTACATCCTCTTACAATACATAGACTTATCATATATACAGTATTGTTACGTTGCTACCTGCATCCTTCGATGCTATTTATTGTAGGTTATGTCATAGTAGTATAACAAGAATAGCAAGATCATAGATCTGCTAATCATTCTCTAACTTGATATCTTCTGTATTCCTTTGCCATACGGTAATACAGCAAGTTATTGTTGGTGTCCTGATGACATTGCCGATTGTAATAACTGGATCTTTATTAATGAATGATTTGGATGTGTGGATATTATCATCTCCGTACTCGCCTGTAGTTATATTAATAGTATCTATAATCTTAGTATTATTATATCCAGCTCCAAAAGATCGTTGGACAAGCACTCGTGGCGATACTACAATGATTTTATCCGGTTCTGTTGGAGCTTGTATAGGTTTGTGGCTGCAGTGTCGCACATTGGGGAGACTACCAGAGGAAGGCTTTCAATTTCCACGTCCTATTAGCATACCAACACTTGACTCCATAGCTATGGCCATTTTAAGATGGACGTTTGTTATTATTATTATTGTACCTTTACGAGCTGTTATGAAAAGTATCATATTCACAATTCTTCCATTGATCTTACCCAAATCTGAAGTAGAACCGAGCAAGAGAGCTGCAGTTGAACTACCTTACAGATTTATTAATTATGGCATCATTGGTTTTACCGTAACCTATATCTCACCGCTTCTGATGAGATACTTAGGAATATACGGAGACGGTCCTTATGGACAGATTCAGTAGCGTTTATCTAAGCTAATAGGCATAAAATCCGCAATAATAAAAAAGACAAAGTTTTTATTTGTGCCATTGTAGCTAAAGTAGGTTACGAACTGAAATTTTTATAATATAGTGTATGCATTTTGTTTGAATAATTCTGATTGCTGGATTTTTTATTCTGCGTTACAGTGTGTGATATGTTACAATTAACATATGAGTAGATGCGTAAGGATTTGTTTTAATAAATCGTATAGTAAATGATACATGTTAACACGCACTGCTCTACCAGTTTTGGCAACATTTATGTAAGTATCTACAAGTTTTGCAAAGCGGTATCATGTATTCTGTATTTTCAAGATTTCACTTTCTATATGTCCAGTAGGCTATGTTGCCAAGATGTGTATTTCTTTGCAGGTGCTCGTTTACACTGCGAAAATGAATGATTTAGATATTTAAATTATACATCGTTTTTAAATTTCAAGTTTTACACTTTGTTAAATTGTTCAACAGTGATCACAGTTTATTACAATAGATAAATTTTTAAACGGCTAAAATAACTTCCAACTCACTCTTAGAAAATTTTACTTTTACTCCTCTTTGCAAATTGATAAAAGTTATAAATTATTCTGGAAGTAGTATAAAATCGTATTAGGCTCAACATTGTGCTATAACCTAATTTTAGATTATTTATACATATTGTCTTGAGATTATTACACTTTTATTGTGCGAATGTAAATATAAGTAGCATCAAAAAATAATCTCCAATCTCGATATCTTAACATCAATATAACAGCTTTTTACCAACGATTATAATGATATTCTCCAACATTAGCACTGAAAAATACATCTTCATATTATCTATTGCCTGGTTCATCCGGAACCTCTTGCTTCTCTATACTAGTCTATGTTATCGATCACATAGTGTATGCCTATATTGCACTATGTAGACAATACACCTATCACAAGTTCTGATTGCAATAATTCGTAAGTCAAAACTAGCAGTTTTATTCCCTATTTAGCAAGATTTTAAAACAAGCTATACTACAATTAAATAAAATATTCAATTTGATTATTAAACTGCATTATTGTTAGTGGCTTGTAATTGTCATAATGCTGGTAATCATAATATACAATTAATCTACGCTATAGTGGATATAATATATGTGCGTTATGCTAAATGTAACTTCACAGTTCACAGCTATCACAGAAATTTAATACGCATAGACTATAAACTATAACCGCATGAGTTACTAGGGATTCTAAAAGTACCTATACTTTTACATTACAGTATATCAAGCCATCGTTCTATAACAATATCTTTCAATAGCTCTAAATATTGGTGACATGAATATCTAAAATTTTAATAACGGTTGATGAAAAAATAAAGCTGCGTATACATCTACGTTACAGTACCTATCAAGCCAACGTTCTATTTTGAATATCTAAAATTTTAATAACGATTGATAAAAAATAAAGTTTTGAAGAAAATATCTGTGCAAGTGTTGCTTTGTCTCCGTTTATTAGTTTTAAAAAACTTGACCATTACCATCAATGTACCACCAATCAGTACAAATCAATTTAAAGTATATTTTAATAATTTACGAGTTTTATCCTAATAGTGAAATTTGAAGTAACAAGTTAAAATAGTTTTATGACTGTACAAAATAATGTATTTTCAATATTCATGTTTTATGAACCACATAACATCTAATCCTTATATTGTTTGTAGTAGATCTCCATTACTTAATAAACTGATAGGTTAGCCAATACATTATAATCGGTTGCAATAATGCTATCATAATCAAAACGTAAATCCTTTTTTTGCCGACAGGACCCATTACGTTTGACGTCGCTTCCTGAGAAATAACTAATCGTAAAGTGCGAACCTAATAATCGGATATAAACTCGATTTTAATTTTATTCTCATTAATCCGCTAACAAGAATGCTGAAACATTTAGTAACCTTACCAGGAAAAAGCTAACGGCCAAACCTGTCCAACCAAGAGTGCAATAGTATCCGAGACTGTTTGTAAGCACACCAATAACAATGCAGAAGATCATTCTGTTGATTAATATAATAACTGGTAAATATATACAATATTTTCAATGCCATTAATAGATTCTAATTTTGTTAAACATACTTTTTTACAGCTACGTTTACTTTTCTATAAGCTAATGAACGAGTATTCTTTAATGATGTTTTAAGCTTTACCCGACATATTTATAGCCAAAAAACGCAATTAGGTCAAATGTTTTAATAGCGGAATTGATGTTCATGAAATAAAGAGTGACAAAGATTAAGCACACGGCTAGGAATTCCATCACAAAGGCTGTGCTAGCGATTATTCCTAAATGTTCAGGTGAAAATCTGTCATATATGCCAATAAAATTTGTATAATAGATTAGATGATCAGGAGGCTTCAATAAATAAGAAGCACTTGTAATAATACTGATGCTTGCGCGTTAGTACGTCAATAAATGTCTAACTTACTTATCTTGAACTCCAAGAACCAAACCGGAGATAATGACGTAAGTGACGAATGCCATAACTGCAATTTAGATCAAACGAGAATTATCAAGTGATATTGTCAAGAATTTTGTTTCACTTTGCTGTCTATTCAGAACATCGAAAATTGGATATTAATATAACTAACGCGGTATGTATAAATCTGGAGCATTAATTTCATGTCTCGGTGCCACCGGTTCTGATTTGGCATACCTAATTGACCAGTCCTATAATAATTAAGGATTAAAATCAGACCTAAAGCAGTTTTCCAGTAAAATTTTGAAATATTACTGTACAATAACTAGTCAAATGCAATATCTTTACTTGAATAACTTAACTTAATTACAGCTGTTGCCATATAATTACATATCACTCGCCTATCAATTTGTAAATTATTCAGTATTTGCTATTGATTTAATAAATCATCATTGTATTGTATCATTGAAGTACAGTACGTCAATTTTATTTTAAAATAGCGTACGCAGTTTATCCTGTTATGGGTTAAAATTTTCCACCAGAGTACTTACCGCATGTGCATAAGGTAGCAATAAGAGGAGGAGTTTACGAAAAACGTAGGAATTATCCACAGCAAAGTAGTATTTCAGGCTCGTAACTGGAATAAATCTAGCAAACTACAGTCATGCAGCCATGAAAGATACATTTGATCGGTAAATACAGCTCAATAATTCCATTGGATATTCAAATTAATTACGGGAAAGTGTGTATAAATCTGTAATACGGTAAAGTGTTCTTACGTTACTGTTAACATATTCCTGGCCAGAAGTTGCAATATTACTACCGTACTGGAGCGCCATGCTAGCAAGAGGGTCAGTAAACATTTTATTAGGCACGGTCGATGGAGGTGGTGAATTGGCATCACCACGATAGTTGCCCTGTCCGCTTGTGTCATCGAAGAACTGCTGTGAATTTACCGGGTTGTAATATTCCGATGAACCCGTATTATCTGGATATTGGCTACGATGATGAACTAATTATCATTAAGAATAATCACACCAATTAGTCATCGAACAGTATGTGAAGAAAGTTTACATACTACATATCCGGAATTGATTAAGACCTACTACACTAATTCTGACTAACCCAGGCACTCTTGTATAACAATGAAAGTGCAAAAATTGTTGTATGGTAATATATGCGCAATTTGTTCAGCATAATATCTACTACAGAATCAGATAGACTGATTGTCATCTTCGATTTTAATAAATGAATGCTTCAAACTATCATAAAAGATTGTAAATCTTCATAAATAGGCAAAAAAAGTACTACCCTTCAAGAAAACTGTCATCGTTGCTACTCCAATCTGCAAGTCCAGATATAAACAAAAAAAGATGATTCCTAAGTTCCTAGCGCAGATCACTGATCATCATTCTTAGTGAATAGGTTAGAAACCGCTATACCAAAGTAGAGTATTTGTTAACTAAAGTATAAAATAATCAAGACAGTATTCGTTGGAATTTCTTTTCTTGCTTTAAGATACTATCGTTTTCGACAATATACTGTACAGTCGCAAAATATTCAAGAATATCCTAATCATAATCATTCTACATGTATGAAATATCTGATTTATAGAATTCAACTAATACACAAGGACTGGAAAGCCATACACGGCTGAGGGTTTCGTTCTGTACAGTACAGTACAGCCGAGTTTGCGGCAGTGAGTGCAGTATTACAGTAAGCGATTTCGTGTACCGGACGTATTTTAGAATCTTCTAAACTATGTTGGGTTTCTCAAGCAACACCTTATCCATTGTACTCATACAGTATAGCATTATAAGATAGAGGCTGATGTGTAAAAATGAACCAAGATCAAAGTAGTTTAAAGATTGATAGTCGGATTTATAACTCAACTAACCGTTGTCGTAGTTTAACGGAGGATCCATGATGGTCTTTGCAGGTCATCCGTACAAGATAGTTCTACACTCTACAGTACAGTGCAATACATACAGTACAGTACAGGAATCATACAGTAGCAAAAATGATGTCGCTATGATAGGTACTGTTACTGCAGTATACAATATAGTACTGTACAATAGTGTACAGTACTATATTTCCAGTAGGAAATGCGTTGTATAGTAATATCACACCGCAATTACTTTATCATCCTGTACGTAGTGGCACCGCATTTCCCGCTGGAACACTGTACTGTACTCAGTGTACTGTATACTGTAGAGCAGTACGCATCATAGCGACATCATTTTTGCTACTGTATGATTCCTGTAGCGTTGACGGCGCATTACAGTACAGTGTACTGTACAATACATTTACTTTACAGTACAGTATACTGTAGTTTTACAGTACAGTACTGTACAGTACTGTACAATTGTACTCTACTGTACTCAGTGTACTATACTGTACTGTACTTTCATCACACGTTGATGGTTAACTTAATTAGCACCGTTGGTCACGTTCAGTAAGTGGCATTCGTATACGACTTTAGTCGAGGTAAGACACTTAACTCTTACCTCTACGATTTCGCATTACTAACGAACAAAAGCTGCGACTGAAATTTATTTGTTAATTTTATAAGTAAACACTATAAGAAGAACTCGTTTGTTTTACAGACTGCAACAGTCAGGCTCCCGAAGTACAGTACAGTATGCAACGTTAAAGTACGAGACAGACAGTTTCTTGCAGCAAAGTGCGAAAAGTCATAGGTGTAAAAGAAGAAAGCTCTTTCTTTTATCTAACTCTATGGCGGAAACTACACTCCATGGCATGGTACTTTACTGACGCGTTAGTCTATCTTTTGTACAGAACTGGTCATTTGCATTCTCCCATAGTGAGGATCATACGGATATAGACGGGGCCCGTACGATGTCACGTATAAACAACATTTCAAAAAAAAATTAGTCTAAATACTCCATTCGTATGAATTGATGTTTACAATTCTATAATTTAATAAGATATCAGAGTAATACCTAAGATTTTATTTAATCCTTTGCCTGTAATAGTCATACACTGGACATTTCATTTGGAATCATGGGAAAATGAAAGCACCATAAAATAATGAGTTTAGATAAGAAAACCGCCGCAATTGTCTAATTTATGTATAGGATAGTCCTTTGATCATATTACGAATGCCATTGATAACTTGTCATAACTTGTACTATCGCGATTCAAAAGAAAAAGAGCTACTTATATATTAATCAAGGTGGTATTCAAAGCACGGTTTTGTAAATAATACGTACTAATAGTAAATACCGCATTTTTTAATACAGGTAGTAGTAGTTTGCTAGGCAAAGTAGAATATCGCAGGAATTAAAATGAGATTATGACACCGATGTTATCTTCTGTGCGCACTAAATTCGCCTGTTTGAATTATTTTAATTGTTCATTTTTGAAGCTAAGATGGACGCTTTGATATCCGTATAGAGGCTTCCATGACAATCAACAATGCTAATCCTTACTAGCGTGAATATAGATGAGAGTTATCAAATACGGTAACAAGCACTAGATTATCCTATTTCCCGTCAATTTCATCCTTCGCATACACATCTATTTTTTTATACGCTATTGGCACCTACGTACCGGCTGTCAATAGATCTGATACTTACAAGAGTTAGTATTAAGTATGACGATATATTAGGTAAGGATTATGACATCTCAGACTTGAATAGAACACCTGCCTTTTTTCTAAACAATAAAAATGCTAATACGCGTAGGTATGCATCTATTACTTTTGTGAAAGATGTATTTATAGGTCCAAGACAACGTTAGAAATGGCACTATCGTCTAGGCCTCAATAATATTGTATAGCTTCTTCTACGCATATACAATTGCAATCAGACAATGGTAGAAGTCAAAATCAATTCAAAAACCATTCGCAAATGAAGGAAAAAGAAATTAAGCCGAAAGAAAATTATTTTTATTACATACAATGCTATTAATGTCATACTACCTTTGTTTGATTATGTAAAGGTTAGATGAGGCCTGTGAAGAAAATAAAATTCACTATAGCCAGAGATATATAGCAAGCAAAACCTGAAGTATTTACGCCGATATTGTACGGCCGAAATCATTGCCAATAAATTTTTTAGCCTTAAAATCTGATTATGCTGTATGATACTGTCTAGTTTCAATTCTATGGCACTGTTAGAAGAAAAAATTTTACAGTAATACTATAGAAGCACAATTGTCAATTGACAGTACATGAACGGTGTTACAGTTCTTATTTATATCTTGCGGCAATACTTTTGGATGAATCATATCATGGTTATAAACACATTTCACATCTGAGTTGAGTCATTGACCAAGTCCTGCATATATTAATTTGTAACGGTATCAAAAAATGTTCATTTGAGGATATAGGTACAATATCAACCAGTTCATTTCATTGTCGTTTGAGGCATGATACCTTCGCTTCTCAGTTAGTATGTTAATATTACACCGAAATTGTAACTTTCCAAGCAACTTTAGACAATCACTCTTGCCCTAACAAATTAACAAATTACTTTTCTCGATCTCATTTACTCTGATATTTTCTCCATTACCAAAATCTCATCACTATTACTTAGTAAGTAATGCAGTAGCAATCTTTACTAGCTTAATTTTACGTTTCAAACTGTCCTATTATAATCAACATTTCTGATAACATAAAAGATTATCAGATATTTTCGATTTCCCCCTATTCTATGTATCATCCATCATTCACTGTATTACAATGTGATAGATGCATCTGAATTGATGATCTTCATTGAAATTTTAAATATTTTTTTTATCTATCAAAACGTATAAACTTGATAATGGATCATGAAATATTTATAAACTAAGTAGTCTAATTTAAGTATACCTTGACTCCATTGTCTATAATTGATTGGAAAAGAAGATGAAAGAGTACATTTCATTTGAATTGTTTGCTTAAACAATTCAGACGAAGATGATATGCTACATCAATCAAGACAGAAAATATGAAGCAATAAATGAATACTTAATTAGTTGTATTGCTGTGTACAAAACCGTCGTTATTACATTATCGTTGCACTTGTCTTATAATTTGCAAAACAAAAGAATGGTTTTCTTTATTGCCTTCATCGTCATTTGATTATTGATTATTGCTTACTATTATTCATTAGCGTTTTTGATCGTTTCAAAGAAAAGTTAGAGCTATAGCCTCTTTATATACATTTTTTTCTTGTCTTTTTAACATTTTTCGTCAGATTGACCTTTTTATTGTTAAAAATTAGTCTCATCTTGCAGTCGTAGTGGTATCTCGGCCATGGAATTGCAAAAGTTGATCTGGATCCTTATAATTTCATCTCTTTCATTCGATAATATCGCTGGTATTAAATCTATTTCAGCATCGATAGATCCTAGAAAAGAAAGTTTTAACCATACCATCAGGGCAGAGCAAGAATTATTAAAATATATTAAGAAGGAAAGGGCAAATTTAAAATGGTTGGATGCTTACAACTTATTGATAGCAATAAGTAAGTACTAAGCTGGTTACTAATTTTAAAGCGAGAGTTCACTCTTTTATTTTTGTTAATTTTCTTGCATATTTCTGAATTTTATCAAGCTATTAAATTAACGAAAAGGTTTGAAATTTCGCTTGTATACATTTGAGAGATTGAGTATAAATGATAATATAACTTTTTCAACCTTCACTTATAATAACTCTCCACTTGATCTTTATAGACATAGTAGTGAAAAGTCTCTGCTACCAGTGAAAGCAGATAGCGTTACGTTACTTGTGCAGATATAATATTTATACTATTAGACGATCAATGCAGTCAGTTTCTTACACCTATTATTAATCACTAACTAGTAATAAACAAGTATAATACTAAGATTTACGTTAAGATTTAATCATCGTATACATTTAAGCCACTAAAAATAAATGAAAATTTTAAAACTATTGTCATTACCTAAACTACACCTCTGATACACTCTGACTGACAATTAGAAGGCTCTTATGATACATATGTTTTAAGAAACTACCGAACACATAGTTAAAATGCTGTCGTAGGTTAGAGTATTACGATTTTACGTTTATATATTGTAAACGTAACAATAAAACTGGTCGTTACTCCTTTGATGATAACGTTTTAACTTAGCAATATGCTGTGCTAACTATTGTGTATTCCGAATACGGAAAACTTGTTTAATGGGAGATTCGAATTACTCATTTCAGGTGCTTTCAGAGATATAACGAAAGAGTACTTCCTGGAAAATTCATATTTATCTTCACAAGATGTTAAGCGAATCAGTGAAATGAATGTAGCGGTAAACATTCTATTCCAAAATTCGCTGGAAAAATTTTCACCTGAATATCGATTAGTATTTAGTGAAGAAGTGTCCTTTGCTGCCGTAGCGCGTTATATCAATGGCACAAAACCATCTCTTCCTATTTCAGGACCGACTCCAGCTAATACGTTTCCATCTAATATGTCTGAAATTTGTATCGCCACTACACTTAGCGGCAGTATCGGCTCCGCTAGTTGCAATGTAACAGGTATGGTACGGAATATAAGATAATATCTGTAAGATTTTATATTCATCTAATAATGATCACCATTAAATTGCCTTTTTAAAGATCTAGAGTAATAAAGATGATCTGCTCGAAATTTCAGTACGATTGTACAGTATAGAACATAATTCATACACAAAAGTATGAATGAGATTTGCCAGCTTTTGTTCTTCTATTCGATGACTATTATTATCTTCGTTCACGAATTGAAGTTAAACATATTTCTAGATTTAAGGGTGATCGACTAAACGTTACTCTAGAGATTGCTATCACAATGACTCCCGATATTTAATAAACAAACGCCAAATCTTTATAATTCCCTTATCGGTTTTCCTTATTATTTAGCTTATTGCTGTCTAAAATTAGCGTTACTGTAGGTTAAGTTCAATTATGAAATTGACTCTTGAGCTCTATTATCATTAATCGACAGAAAAACAATCAATTCACAAAAATGTTTGTTAAAAATTATGGTATTTAATGTTCCATAATCATCAATGACCCTATCGATGAAAAATGCGATTATGTTATATATTTACAATCCTTGAGCATCTTTAAATAATTGCTATCACGCTTTCCGTTTTTAGCCAGAATCAATACAGGATATGCAGTGCTTAGATAATTCATTCCGTAACAAAGTAGCAGCCAGGAAAATGTTTTTATAAGTTAAAAAAGAAGCTTTCATGTCTTGACCAATGCCTTAATACCATCCGTCAATGTCCTAATTAAGTAACGTACTTTTGAATCAGCTGTACAGTAAATGATAAAGTATCCAATGAACATTTTGAACTACTACCATAACATTCATTAAAATGATCATACAGCTATAATCTGTTCGTTAACATCAAATCCATCAAATTATTAGAATTTAAATGATTTATTTTTATATTTCAGTATTTATAAGTTTAACCAACTCAACTGAATTAACGCTCCTATTTTTTCATTATATGCATATGTAATATTTCATATTGTAACCTTAATTAATCTTATCTTTTTATTTTAATACGACAGAGGCTTGTTGGAATTACATTTCACAACCAGGAACAAGAATGGGTTTAGCTGTCAGTCAACTTTATACGGATTATTTCATTCGTCAGCTTGATTATTGTGGATTTAAATTAGTTAAATTAGCTGGTGGAATACGTCGTCTGATGGCGGTAGAAGAGAGTTTATGTTCTAGAATTTATATGGACTTTAAAAAAATTCTACATAATAACATTTCTGATATAAATAAAGCTGAATTACTACTACAACAAATCATTATATGTGGTGGAATGTTTGGATATGTTGAATTTGTTAGCATTTATCCATTGCATCAAGTTTTCAAGTATCAAGCAAGAAGCGGATGCTTCAAAAACTCCGCTCGTAATCGAAGATCACAGAGGTAAATGTTTCAATGGCATAAGATAATTAATGCAATAATATTTCGAACGAATGCATTATTAGTTGATTCTATATCAATGGATTTGCTCAACTTTGTTGTACTCGCTGTATGAAGTACCATACTACGGGTGCCTTTAGTGTGTATCTTAATAAAATACCGTTATAAAATTCTATCTTAACAACCTATTTTATATTATAAGAATAATGCACTTACCCTGCATGTTATGTTTATACAATAGCGTTCAAATATCTTCATCGTTAGAACTAATTAACTCAAGGGCGGATCTTGCATCAGGTAATTTAGAATACAACGGTATCGAAGAGTATTGTAGCTATTATATTGTAGAATAACTTCATGTTAAAGTTATTCTACCATAAAATTAAATAGATTCATGGAAATAGTTTGCAATCAAATATCTATTTCTGAAGTCTCGAAATTATTGAATATGAACTAAAACTTTCTGTCTACGGTACTTTCGTAATTGCAGCCAATAAATAATCAATTATTTTCTATTCTTATGTATCTTGGAAGTGCGTTAATTATTGCTACAGTATACGGTTAGCTTACATGATATCACGGTTTTAACTTTATTGATAACAAGCAGACCATTAGCCTGTAATTGATGTTACTCCAATGATGATATTAATAGTATTTATAATGCTTTCTAATAAATATCTTCAATTTTTCTAGATGAGTGTAACTTACATGTTTCTACCGTTGCTTTCGCCTCACTGGCAACATCTTTACGATGGTGGAGCTTTAAACACATTGGAATACCACACCCGACAACAGCTCCTAAAAGCAACAACGGTCTAGTATATGCATTTGTTATTGTTTGTCTTTTGTTGGTTGTCGTTCTTGGTGCCATTGCTGGCTTTATTATTTATCCACGTTTTAAAAAGCGTAAATATGATGAATTATAAAAGCAGATAAGTCTAGCTTAATACAACTTACTATCGTACTCGCTATTACCACCTCCTCCTAGTACGATTTAATATCTGTATAACATATCATTATCAACTAGTTGTGTACTATTTGAAAAGTTTTTACCTATAGTAGGAATTACTAGCAAATATCATTACACGAGAATCCCTATCTATCCAACCGAAATATTTCCCCAAGCATTCTATCAATGCCCTTACTTACCAAGATAAGCACCGTATTTAATCGTACTCACTTGATATGAAGAGTATCATTAATATATCGGTTTCAGATAAGAGTGCTAAAGCTAACACGTATTAAACAATACAGCAACGGAATGTACCTCCAGTATGCTTGATTTCCGTAACTGAAGCCACGGCTTGCGATAGTACTCATAACGAGACTACACTCTTAACTGAATAGAAAATATTTATGTATAACTTTATTAATAATAAATACGCGATAATATATGATCTGCCATTTAATTATATCCTATAGTTGTTCATATACGTCAAGATGCAATGTGATATTGTATTGTTCACAAAATTGCATAAATTAAATTCGTAAATCTTGTCTGAAATTTTTTTGTCTGGTGTACAATCAAGACTCAAATCAATTGAATTAAAACAGTATCTTGATCTTGAAAATGTACGTTTCTAGGGTAACATCCTGATCAATATCATCTGCAGTCTTGAATGTATAATTACGTATATATACACTATAAATTCTATAGTAGTAAACGATTGTAGTATACAGTATAGCAAATAAATCACTCGCTACCAATTACCGGTACATTATCAAATTGATTGCATCTATTTTGTACAACTCAAGCAAAATTAGCTTAGATACATCTATTTAGTGCTGCAGATAACTAATTAAAAGATAACTTATCGTGAAAATAACTGGCAAAAATCGACGATCAATTTTAATTACGTAGACGTGGTAAAATGGTATCGAAGTAGTAATACTGAACAGTGTGCACGTACGCATACAAAACACCATCGATGTTTTAGCTATTTATGAATTGTTTAGTTGAAAAAAGATGAGAAAATTATCACTAAAGATAAGTATACTTGAACATGCTTTATAGATAAATACTGCTTTGTTTTACTATTCATTAATGATAAAGTATATATAATGCACGTTTACCGAATCGCTATTGTACTAGCTTTAATAATATGCACACAAACAGTGAAAATATTACTACCAGTAGCTAATTCTGCGTGTGTGTAATGATCACTGCCGTTATAATGTACAGTTTAACGTGCGCGTACTTAATGAAACAGCAGTCAACTTGTTCAGTTGTCCATGTGCATGCAACCAGTAATAGTAAACTGAAATTTCTTCCAGATTTAATATGACGAGGCTTCGTACAGTACGTGTGAACAAGCGCAGTTATCATACCAAGTAACAACATGAGCAAAAGGAGTCTACAAAAATTTCATTTAACATCCTGTTTTTATATCCTTAAATAAAACTGTGTTCCCTTCAGTGATCACCGGTGTAGTCAAGTCCATTGCGAGTCTCAGCTCAGTTAGCTGATCATGAACCTGTAATTCTGAACATTACCAGTACATTACAGTAGTATGAAGCTGAGTAACAGCGCATGGCTGTGCTTTGGATTGCTGAATCATGATTTAGTAGTTCAATTTGGGATAATTTTTGTAGCGTTTATTTTAAAATGAAATTTCGAAACAGTATGGATAGATTATGCACAATCCAGTTAAATCGAAGTTTCTCTATAGTACATTGAGGCTAAGCACAATTACTACAGCAATTTCTAGTTACTTATTAGCGGTTCAGTGGTGTTCTAATCATTTTGTGGCAATAGCCGTGAAATATGCTTACGAACTCGTATGTGCAAAACGCGTATCAGATGGTCTACTTATTGATCATGAATCTACTACTGAAGCAGTAATTAAAATTTTCCCTGACAGCTAATATGTACTAATATTAACTGCTGTAATTTGTTAAATTCAATATTTACTAGTGCAAACTCCCGTCGCTTTGCTGACGGTTTACGATAATGTGCTCATTTAACAGATAGTATTACCATTTGATAGACCTGTCAGAGGTTCAGTAACTTTTTACCGTGTACTGTATGCTGTACAAAAGTACTGTACTGTACAGTACTTTTACTACAGTACTTATACTGTACTGCAGTACTGTACTGTACTGTGCAGTACAGTACAGTATAATATTTTACGTCACTAGACCTACAGTACAGTACTGTAGTTTCTTGGACAAGCAGGTCGCGCCTAGACAAGCTCCATTACTCTACTGTGCTGTATTACTGGACGTACTGCACAGTGCATAGTGTAGATAGATGATAGTAAAGCGTGCAGTAAGAGAGCTCCGCTCTCAAATCGCCACAACTTTAGAAGCAGCCTCAAAGCATCAAGTAAAAGTGCTCGTATCATGGAGAGATCGATTATTGATTGTTGCAAGAAATTAACTTCGGAGAAGCAAACCGAGCGAAAGGTATTTCTCCATCATCTTGTACAATTGCATCCAATGAATATCATGTACCATAATTGAATAAGTAGCTACGAGTAGGTGTTACTAATCCGTTCAATATGCAGCATGATTGGATAGTCACTTAAACGCGTAAACGTCAACATGATGTGTACAGTACACCGTACAGTATTGATCATGTCGGCTTTTAAGGTGCTCGAGATTCGAGTGTTTAATCGGACCAAATCCAGTCCTAATTGATCAGGTAGTTGCTGATAATGTCGCTCACCAATGATATAGCAGACATGAACAAATAAGCATCCAGTTTTAAACTAAGAATCGTGATCGTGCTTGCGATCACTGCAAGACTACTGTATAATCAACTTTAAGTTGTCATGAATGTAAATGTAAATATTACTACAGGATTGAAAATTGAAAAACGGACAAAAATGCATTTTAACCTAAACTGAATTAGAATTTCAATGATAGGATCTTACAGTGGTGTAGGTTAGCTTATGATTGTTGGATGCCATTGGCCTGGCTTGCACTTCAATTAACATTGTTGTATATATTGTACGTAGTGGTGTGCATGAGGAGTAATTACAGCAACAACGTAACTGCAATTTCGAACTAATCAATAGCTGACTCGTATTCGTATGCTGCCAAATAATGCGTTTGACTACTATAATACCATAAACTATAGTTTCCAATCACTACTACAGGTTGCTAATGATACATCAAGGTGATCATGATGTAGGGCTCTTGGCAGCAACATAGCTGCAATTTGCAACCAATTTTATGGCCTACGAGTATTGCATACGTTGCCAAAATAGTATAGTGTACTACTTCCTTCTATGATCATAGTTAGATTAAAATTTTTCAAATCAGAATTAACTGTCATTGATCTTGACAACAATTAACTTTTTAAATTCCTTTTCCGATCAAATTTTACTTTTATTTTAGAATGCTGCTGAGAAAATACAGCTATTATTACAACATGATGAGGTTATTCAATTACTAGACAGCAGGACAATAAATTCCTCTTCTGGTCTGGATGCAATTACATGGAATGAAGTGTACGAGTCCGTTTGTAGCTTTGTCCGTCTTGAAGCAGAAGCGTTAAGCAAATCTAGCACAAAAGTATACCATGCATCATCATCGCTGCCTTCACTGGAGAAACGTAAAACGGTAAGACAACTAATTAACATTAAAATTCGATCTATCATGTCTGATTCATGCTATGCTTGGCTTGCTCGTATTTGCAATGGTATACAATAGCGTCATGACACAAAATACCTTCGGCATTGTGAAAGTCTGTACGATATACTCGCATAATGCTCGCATGATAGTCGCTCAAAATTACCTAATACCATTTAGAGCTGTTGTGAGCAAATACTATTGCATTAACTCTTGCAGCAAAGTTTGATATTTTAAAATAGCACTTGTTCATGATACAATAGGACCTTAAGTAAAAATATCAAGCGTATCATAATGAGATTGCTGATCTATTATTTACTAGTCCAATGAATACGAATTAATCTTATGATAGAGTTAATTCATTGATTAACAACAGTAAGTTTAATGAATCTACTATTGGAAGATAAATTTCTATCGTGACATCTAGTTAATATTAAGATATATGATTACTTCTATTCTTACCTTAATACTGAAAGATAAAATTTAGGGATTGCTATATTCTTACTACAGGTCCAAATCACAAGTGATTGATTGTTGAGACAATAGTGCAAAAATTCGAGATTCCAAGACATTGAAATTAGATAATATTATGCAAAATCAAGTAGAATGCATCTTTCTGGCTATATTTTATGCTTTAAGCAATTAAATATTTTAATACGGTATAAGAATGATTGTCATAAAATGCTGAGGTAGAACACGTGTAGATGATCTAAGGGATAGTAGATTAGGATTACGATAACAGTACAATGCAGAGCATGGGTATCTGTTCATTAAATATAACCTGTGTAACTTCAATATAGTAACATGTTCCAGTATATGCATTTAATTATACAACATAATACGATTTATAAGTGTAGCATTATTACGTAGTGCGACTCGGAGAACTAAAACTTATACGTATTTCTGTATCTACCAGCAATACGCTCCAAGACGTTGCTGATAGACTTTAAATATTGGACTTAACCTTACATTATTTTTGTTCAATTTACCTCCAGAATGTTACAAACCTGTATCGAACGACAATTCATACCATCAATAAACGTAAGCATCAATTCTAACTGATTCTGTGTTAGTGTATTTCATAGGGAAATTAATCATTTGACTGTAATTACATAAAAAGGCGGACTGATACTATCGGCTCAGTGCATTATCGGACATATGGTAAAGGTACTTAAGAACCAAGCTATGCGAAAATTATTTGGTGGTGACTATAGTAAAATATTATTGAAAGAATTTTTAAGCATTTGGAAGTATCAATGCGATATGCTAGATGAGCACTGGAACGGTAATCAAGAAATTAATACGTGGATAGCTACAACTTGAATGATGAAATTATTTTCTGCCGGAAACAACTGTTATTGCTGTGACTAGTTAGTCTATATTTACTCACTAATTAAAAGTTTTTCTTTTGTAACTTTTCTAGATCTTATCAATCTTTACTGTGACCTATTATTAGAAGCATGTCGGTTGGATCGTACTTCGATAGGCTACGATAGACAAGTTTTAATTGAAGTTTTAATTCGTCTATTGGTTGGCGCAAGGAAACATAGCCAAGCTATTTATAACCGTTGCTTGTTTAAATTTTTTGAAAACATATTCGACATGGTTGAGTAAGTCATTGATAGAGAGAATGTTGACCTTTTTAGAATCTCTTACAAGCAATTAATCCGATATTATAACCATTTTTGTTTTGAAGCCAAAAGTTAGACGTCCACATCTTCAAAGGAATTCTTTCTGCATGGAACCACTTTCAGCTTGCTGTCGCCATTAACTATCGTAGATATGTTTGTAGAATTGGTGAACGAATCCTACGTTGTGCTTTAGAAATGTGGAATAAATCGCGATCAGATTGCAAGGTATATCGTATTATTTAATTTCGAGATGATATACGCGTATTTACCATTGCATAGGTAATTACTGCTGTAACATAATCAATTTGTTAATAAATTCGTACAATTAGGATGAAATAGTATTGTTCATGAAGATACAATTGGCAGTGCGTTACCCTAATGGGACAGACAACACGGTTGATGGAGCAGATGTCCATTTGTCAGCTGATTGGAAGGTAACTTTTTTATGCGAGTATTATACAGCGGTTCTCCGCGACAGTTGGATTTTTTAACAATTTATAACAAATGTTATAGAAAAATATGCAAGATTTGTTGGAGCTATTGGAGTCAGAAGCACTTACCAAAAATAAAATCTCCAAGTTTGTTATCTGATATAAAAAATAACAATTGTACTAGATAATTTTTAGTACAACCGTTAAATTTATACGATCAGTAAGTAAGATTCTTTTTATATTTACAGTATATCATTCTCGCATTTATACGTCGACGTCATGGGGGATATTTTACATCAGGTTAGGAGGCTAACACAATTATGTCTTAATTATAACCGTTTCCAAACTTTGTCAAAGATATAAATATAGTCTCACTATATTTCGTTTTATCTTTGGAGAACTCGAATAATTATATAATTTACAACATTGTTGTTGTGTTAACATTAACAATTCGATCATATCTTGCTGTATATTTATCATCAAAACTGTTACCATAGGTAACTAAAATGCAAGATTATGCCAGTGATAACTTATCTACGGAAGGTCTGCTATATTTTTCAATTATATGTTTAAGAAGCTAAATAATATTAATAGATACAAGTACACTATACCTGATATTTTCTAAAATTGTTGTATAGAAAGTCCTAGAAAAAAGACTAAGGTTGAATCGAAGTGGACTGAGATGCAGTCTAGATTAAGTTCTAGTCAAGATAATGATATCTGCGCTTGGTACGTTGAACTGATACTGCATAATGATGAAGCTAGCTTTCTCATAAAAAGGAAAAAACGCGAAATTATCTTATATCTTGCTAAACTACTGTCTTGCCAGGTTGCAATTATTTACCACAGTGATAAACAAATATCCTGATGATCTTAGCCCGATGCATTACCAACAATTTTTTAAGATACTTCTCAACCTGCGTTCTAGATTTAAACGGTACCTGTAACTGTATCTATCCGAACTAAAATTGTAGTACTACAATATTTGAATCAGTATCTAATGGCCATAATTCGATTGGAATGTATCATATGCTAGATCAAGTAACAACTTACATAATCTACTCTATAGACGCGATATACTAAATTTGATTTTTCGAGCCGAGCGGAGCCTTCTTGCAGCTTGTCATACTAAAGGTATTATATTTAGCTTATTGCAATTAAATTAAACTTCGGAGTCAGAATTCTTACTAAGGATTTATTGTTTAGGTGCATCATATTTATTATATAAGGATTTAAATACATTAACTCTAAGCTAGTTACATTCGTTAAATTAAGGTAGTGAGGTAATTAATAAATATATTGCCTTATAAATGTTATGATTCTTAAAGCAGAAAAGAAATCTAGTCTTGAATTTGAAGAAGTAACTTTACGGAATTATTGGAAAGAAACATGGAGGTAAATATCGTTGGATATAATGATTACTATATAGCAGATCGTAGATGGTGGTAATATTGCAGAATTTACTATCGTAGTATAACGATGAATGTTAGTGATAATTATAAATTAACTGATTATACAGTAACTTATTTCTTATTATTAACTTATACGACTTCGTTTACTCAACCGAACAGATTCGTAAATTCGAAAGAGTATGATGATCCTGCATTGAGTGTACTAACTTACTTGCTATCCCGCAATTCCATGAATTCATTCTCCATTCCGTGGGAAGTCGTGTTCAATGGCTCTGTTGGTCCTACGAAGTAACAATTATAGCAATATTAAATTGTATTTTTGAATTATTAAGATTGTAATTTATCTGCGTATGTTGCCTGTTTTTAAATTGAATTAGATCCGGACTAGATTTTCTAATAACATATCTTCGAAAGTATGACTTACCGGAATGTGCATCAATTACCAGTACTTCAATAGCGGTCACAGTATTGCATCCATTAAGATGTCAATTGATGAAATGGTTACTACCCTTCATAGACAATGACGATTTTAATGATGATGGTACTACGACCGTATATCCAAAATTAAGACAAGTGCTTCAAAGGTCTGTTTATGAGTTCTTACTTACCACACCTGTAGCTTTGTAGATATGAAAATGATAGGTATAAATGCACAGATTTAGGATTAACCCTGAAATTATCAGCAATATTCTGATTGCTCTTACACGGCGTCAAGTTGGCTTACTTCCCGCGTTAGAAAATATGTACGTAAACGAATTAGGATAAAGTGACAGTTATGGTAATTTCAACGACGATCTGTATACTTATCAAGGAAGACTTTATGATCGTCCATGTTCGTATAGTTATAGTTGTTAAAGTCTTGCTACTACTTAATAGCAGCAGTTACATAACCGAAGATGATTATTTTTCATGTAGAAGTTTTGACCATGATTCTTCTATGGATGATTGTGATTTACGACTAACTGAAATACGAGAAGTTTACCAATCTTTTAGAAAAAACGCGGTATATATTGCATGAAATGACTGATACTTAGCCATTTAAAACATCACAAATCTAGTTTAAATGATAGAATTAATTAGTTATTTCAATTTATTTGTCTTTATCAGTACTTGTTTCTAACTTAGCAAGAAATGTTCTTTATGTTTATCTATTTATAATTTGACAGGAAGAAAATAAGAATAAATCTACGAAGTATGCATATATACCATTCCAGATCTAGCAAGCCTAGCTGTATTTAAATTAATCCGTTGAGAGATTTACATGCAGGCGACTATATGTGTATAATTGGTTCTTGTTATTAGGAGATATACTTAAATAAGTAGTTAATTCTATGTATTTCATTTAGCTGCACACCTATCGGAAATGGAACTTGCGCTAAAAATCTAGTCAAATATCTATTAGACCTATTGAATCAAAGTACTAAGAGAATCAACGAATTTTCACATTTTATTGAGATCGATGTAGGTATTCTTTAACAAGTTACTGATGATAATATAACATCTTTAAAACATGTTTTTAATTATGAGTCTAACACCTTTAACCTGCAGAAAACTTCCATGAAAAGTAAATCTAGCGAAATACTGTTAGTTGGATTAGCATGGCATTGCTGTATCATATCAAAAATATTTTACAGTCTAATTCAAAGCAATTATATCAGTGAATCTGAACTGCGCAATTCCGATACCTTTCAGAGCATGAATGTATGAGGCTACTACCGTTTGCTGTTAAATATTGCTCACGTTTATATTTTCTTACCATAAATTGTGCACGCTACATCTACTACCAACAATAATTATAATTATATAACTTCCTTTTATTCGTCTGTAGACAATGCTGCAGCTATCGCTAACCGTTATTAATCAGAGTATACGAACAAGCACCAGCAGCATTAATTATAAGGATGAGGACTCCTTTCTGACTAAGTTTTTGCGAATATTAATAAAAATGTTTCCTTGCGAGAACTTATTCAAGTCAACAATTTCGGAAAGTGAGGTAAGACATGAAGGCGAAAGCTTTTTGTATCACGTACAAATTAACACTAAACTTAGTCTCATTTCCTTTTATAGCGAACGTCTCGATTGTCTTTTAGTTTTACATTGTTACGAGAAGTATTTCCTGAATCGCTCCTCAACTTACTCTTCCAAATACTAGAAGGAAAGGTACCTTAGACAGATATCAGCTACAAATGTTGCAGCTGTTATAAATGTTTTACTTAACAGTCATTAAATCATATGGTAATCGCACGATTGTATTAGCCTTTCATCGCCTTGCTTTATACTAAGTAATGACCTCGTATTACAGCAAAATGAAGGGACGAAATTAAGAAATACTAACCTTAGTAGTGATGAATTTGATATAGAAGGCCAACCGGCTAGTCGAAATAAAAGCATTCCGGCGCTTGTGAACTCTGGTATCGAATGTTACTTAACTTAAATGGATTTATATTAATTTTAAAGTCAACTAATTATCAAATTGATCGAGTTTACGAAAATAATTTTCGCTTCTAGACCGTCAAAATCCTTGGCTTGAGAACATAAATCGTTTAGAAAGAGAAAGAATTGCTTGTGCTGAATTTCTATCAAAGGCTTACTCTTACAATTCATCGTCAGGAAATAATAATATACCCATAAGTGCAGATTTAAGAATTGATAGTAAAGTTTTGCATACCTTGTATAATCCAAGATTGAAAGATATTCTCTCAAGACAGGTACATGGTACCTCTAAGTTTGACATTATGTCAGATATCTAATAAAGTATTTGCTTTAACATAGCATGAACATAGAGTAATTTAATGATATTAACCTAAAATTGATCTCGAATTCATGACAGACTCCATTGGAATGCATCAGAAAACCGGTGGACTTGCAATTGGTTTGCTAACTATAAAATTATTAGTTAATATATTCGTTTTTCTGGCTTACATACTATCTACTAATATCATACCTAACGTAACTTCATCATACACGTAGTTTTTTAAATGTGGCAACATCCTAGCGTTTAAGGACTCCGACCTCCCTGCAGAAGATCTTCAAGTGTTGTTAGAACTTTTACTGGCAATTATAAGAAACAATAAATGGGATAATATTATATGTGTAGAAGGATTGAGGATGCTTCACTCCTTATCGCAACACTTTATGCCTTTAAAGTATTACTGCAATAAAAGAATTGTGGATTCCTGTAGAGAGATTTGTTGCACTATCTTAACCGCATTTTGGTAATATTTCCTTTCTTGTATGTAGCGTTCTTATTAAATAATACATAACTATATAATAATTATTTGTTATAGGAAGTTACTGTCTGCTACAAGCTATAAAAGATCTTATAGCACAAACGTCAAAATTCAATTTGCAAAATGTCTCTTACAGTACATTAAGGTTAGCGACTTATCTATTTAATAATTAATAACTTTAATATTGAAAAAAAAATTTTATTTATGGTGCACTCGTTATGAAAGGTAACAATTTATACATGAAACCGCCTTACGATACTAAAATTTTTTCCTATAATATAGATTAATTCAAGCTCACAGTGTTGCAACCAAATTACTGATGCTGCTGCAGCAGGTAATAAGGCAATCCTAAATACCTTATTCACCGTTATATTATTGCTACAATTATATACCTTTAGTGATATCGAAATATCGATGAAATAAATACTTTTCGATACATTATAATATTACTCGTACAAAAAATTTAATAAATTGTATAATACATGTAGACAAATCGATCAAGGAAATGTATTTAACCTTACTTGGTGACGACGATCATGAAGTCAGAATGTTCGTATCAACATCTTTGGCGTCCGTTTTTGCAAAGTACAAGTTCGAAAAATGTTTTAGGTCAAACAATAAGACCGAAGTTTGTTCACAATTGCCAAAGGTAGAACAACAAAAAATATACGATGAAGTCGAAGCGACAATATTGGAGCTGATTAATTTCAAGGTCAGTTATTATGTAGAGCGCCTTAGTTTCTTGATTTGGCCTTGCTTTAATTTGCGCTATTTACTTATTGACTAGGAATCTAATCGCTCAGATAGTGATACTGGTGATCTTCATCATGACTTAACTAATAATAAAACACACAGTGTGTTAGCAACCCTAGCTACTATTGCTATTAATGTTGCAGTATGCGAAAAAAAAGCACTGTTTCTTATCTTTCGAATTGCACAAAACAGTAAACATTACTTAGACATCATTTATAAGGTAATGGTAATTAACACTATTACCACAAGAATGAGCTTGTCAAAATTAATGACATCGTAATTATGTTATAAATAGATCCTTACACGTGTTGCACAGTCATTAAATTATGAACGAGTAGATCGTTATCTACGCCCACATCTTGGATATATTATTCATCGATGGCTTAAGGAAAACTTAAAAGTATTAGAATTTCCATTTCAATTATTGGGCTTATCTGATCAGAGCCTCAAAGAACTAGACATGCAAAGATTTATACAGTAAGAGCCAAGTTTTAGTCGAGTATATCAATAGTGCATACTAATTCCTAATTACTAGTAAGGTAAATGCATATTATATGAATTATTCAATAGGGAATATCAATTAGAGCTTATTCCAAGGATAATAGCTAATGGTGATTCTTCGCAATTAAAGACGGTCGTCCAAATTGCTCGGCAAAATATTGAAGAAGTTGTTTCTCGTTGTTTTTCGTACTGCGTGGTTTCTATTTTTCCTAGTTTGGGAATTTCCGACGAAAAGAGTACACCTAAGACCGAAATCGAGAGTAGTTTAGCTAGGAAAGCCTTGACTAGCTACCATATTATAGAACAGCTACTTAGTAAAGATGTAGGTTTTAGTATCAGGAAATTAGTAGCGAATTTCTTTGACTGTTTTTAAAAGCCTTAAAAATACTCTGGTTAATTTATTACGTTTTACTCGTATAAATAGTTCAAATTTAGATTATTCTTACGTTATGCTCACATATTCCTTATAGACTGTTCGTAAGCTTGTCTGCCAAAAAATCGATGATATAGTCGTGAATCTGTTGTCATGTTTGTATGAAACTCCTAGTGAACCATCAGACACCGCCCGATTTACAAAGTAAGTGTAAATTAGCTACCAACAGTTATTTACAAAGTGCTTTAATGAATTCGGTAGCGCCAACATAATACATTACGGTTATTGCCTATTGGTAATTTTAGTTCTCAATCGTTATATTTTTGTTTTATTTTTGAATCACTGAGTTTATTAATCATGTATGCTGATCCTTTGCTGTAAGCTTATACTATTGTCTCTTTCTTTATCATTACTTTATGAAAAACAATTATATAAAGTAACATTTTGTGATAATTCAAATATTGAATTTAAATTCTTTCTTTCTATTTTAGGGATGACGATCCTGAACCAAATCCTCCATACTATACTGCTTACACTATCAGAGACACCTTGGATTATATTGTTAACTACTGGCTAAAGAGGAAAACTGACAAGTCCATATTAGTATCATTATTAGGAAATTCTAAAGTAAGTCACTAATTGCATTGATATTGAAATTATCATTACCTAACAAACTTTAGAGATAAATCAAACAGATTATTCATTAATACTGTAGTATAAGATTGAGCCATCTGTACACCCATATATACATGCGTATATGTATAATTAACTATAGTTGAAAGATTGTTAGAAAGTAATATGATAATTAAATTGTTAAAGGATGGGATACAAAGCGTACTATTATCTCTAGCAATGCGTTTGGATAAAGCACACTTTGTCTATGAACGACGAAGAGAGCTGTGTATGTATCGGCTGTTTGTACAACTGTTACTTAAAGAATTTCCAAATGGATTCAGAAATAACGCAGCCTTCATTTTAAGAGATATTATATTTACTTTATTGCGAACCATGAGCAAACCTTGTAAAAAAAGAATAATTGATGTTGGCAATAACTCAACGAAGGCAGGTAAGTTACGTACCTCAAAGGTATATTATAATAATAATTAGAGTCACAATTTTAAATGCTGCATATCCGAAGGTTTCAGTTACCTCTAACTTAACTGCTAGGTGTTTAATATCTGTTCCCATTAGTGATTAATGCATACGAAGATGATATAATAAATGGATGTTTAGAGCTGTTAAAACTTGTGTGTGAAGCTGGATTAAAGAAGTTACCAACGGTAGCGACTAACAAAATTAATTAAACTCATGTTGCTAATAGTAAAATGATCACTGTCGCTAACAAAAGTCATCATTCTACCGAATTAAATCAAATGAAGGAATTTAGCCAGCATTTGCAAGTGGTTATTACTACATTGGTACCAATAGCTGAGCGCCAGGATGCAGTTGGAAAAAATGTAATATTTTAATAAGTTTGTACTATTTAACATCGACTTAATACCTTCAATCTGTTTATCTACTAAAGGCAAAAGGAATGATCAACTACCTGATTAGCGATAATGAAAGGCCATGTGAATATATAGAAGCGTTGAAATCACTGGATCTTTTGCCTAAACTATCTTCGTTTACAGAACTAATTAACATACAAAAAGATAAACGTGAATCTGTATCATTATTACAGGTAGGTATTACCCGATTAAGTTATCTTCCAGAGTTTCCTGTAATTATGTAATACGTAATTATCACCATATTTTAAATGGAGCGGAGTTATTAAAGTTATTGGTGATCTTTTACTGTAAGGAACTTGAATCTTTAGCGGACGGCAGCAGTTATACCTCCTCTGCATATCGACTTGATGGAATTCGCTTTATTAAGAAATTATTAGAAAGATCCAGGAACGATTTTGTCAAGTTAGACAGTCCTGAATACGGTCAGATAAGTTGATTTGCTTCCTTAATATCTTTTCAAGTTAATTTAATCTGAATGCATATTATACTAAATGCGCTCGTATTGTTAAATCAATGGATAATGATGTACAGATTATGTTACATTATTTCTTAATCGTACCATATCATGACTGACTTCTTTAATAACAGATCAACTGTTAGCCAAAGTAATTCACAAGCTACTACAACTTAATCGAAGTTCAGAAATGACAAATCTCTTCTCGACCAATGTATCTGACATTAGCTGTCAGATCCAGGAAGAGGCTAGTCGATGTTTGGGAGAGTTAGGTGCAGTCAGCTTAAATCCTGTTGCCTTAAATTCATGTAAAAGTAAGTTATTGAAATTAGATCATATCAATGCTTCTGATATACTTCTAAAAACATTTGAAAGGATGTAGATATCATCATCTCGATATCTGTTTTCGAAATAGAGTCTTATGAACTGGAAGTTAATTCATCTCACGATGAAGAAAAGCGAACTGTTATGTTATTAAATTACTTATCCAATTTTCTTATAAATCACGAGTACGTGAAATTACATTGATTTTTTCGAATACTGTCTATCAACATATTTATACTAAACAATTTATTTACGTTAGTGTTAAGATCGTCCAAGCGGCATCGAAATGTTTGAAATCAATTTTATCCTTACCAAAATGTAAAGAGCTTCTTGTATCTAGTCGGCTTCATCATTACGGGTTAAATTTGTATTTAACGCCGTTTACTGATATGGTATGTAATAGCAGCTTGGAGTATTTAGCGGCATATACTGCAGGATATCAGCTAGTAATTAGTAAAGATTGACACGTAGTGGCATATTTACAATTGGCTGTATTAAAATAATGATGAACTAGAGCTATGACAGTTATTGATGCACTCTTAATTCCTTTCTTGCTTGTGATACCTAGCTTGCACCAAGTACTTCAATAGATAGCCCTAATAGTGACTATCAATTAAGTGCTCTGAATCGGGTTGTTCGTCGTTTTTTTGACTCTAAACTGTCCATCCCTCATTCTGAATGGATTGTACAGTTGACAAGTGAGCTAGCAAGTTGTGCTCAAGATGCTATCTTACAACGTTTGGGTTCCCTTTATGCTCTCGAAGTGAGTGCTAACATATATCTCCTCCAATATATCGCAAGTGTGTTATCCTTATGCTCTCCCCTTCGTTCTTAATTTTATTTTGTAAATAGGCAGAATTTGCTGAATTTAGCTTTCCATATTTAGTTAAAGATATTGTTTCATCCTTTGGTCATGACGCACGAGCTATTTTCTCACATTCCTTGCAAACATTTTTATCTAAAGCTAATGTTAAAGGTGTTAGTAACGACTATAATGTCGTCAAAAATTCACAGAGCGATAGTACAAAAGTAGTGAGTAATTCTAACAAGGAATCCTACAAAGCAATCTTAGATATGATCAATTACCTACGAACGCAAGAAAAACCTGGGTAAGAACATATTGTAATCGCTGTTTCAATATACTCTTTTCATGATGATTCAAAGCTTTGTGCATTGTTCGCAACACTGGTTATCTAACCAAGTTTAAGCCTAGAAACTAATGTCTTATTTTGCTACTACTTTAGATCGAAAACTCCATGGGGAAATAACTTTTGGTTAGATTTAAATTTTCTCGATTTAGCTCGTGTCGCACAAAGTTGCGATGCTTATTATACTTCTCTTTTATACATTGAAATATGGCACAATTATCGTCAAGAATTGTAAGTGACATACTATAATATACTGTTATAGTATGTTGTACGTCTGTCAATCATTACTAGCTTTGTACATAATAGCAACAGTCAAGAATGGTTTACTGAGATAAATTATAAAATTTCTAGCTCAACTAATCGATTTTACCAATAGGGATGAGGATGAAGAATTGGATGAAACAAATTATCATTCTTTACTTACGAAAGCCTATAGCAATATTGGTGAGCCCGATTATGTTTACGGCATTGAATCACAACATCTAGCATCGTTAGCTGGTAGAGTAGAAATGTATCGACATGAAGACAAGTGGAATCAAGCATTAAGTGTATACGATATTCAATCACAATATGCGATTAAATATCCTTCAGCAGCAAGGCCATCGAATGAATTACATGACTTAACATTAATTGATTCTATGAGAAACGCAGGGCTATACCATTCCATGGAAATGTGCTTGACTACATTATTAACTAGGTACCCGGATAAATCTTCAGAAGTTTCTGAATATCTATATGAAAATGCTTGGCGTTCAACTTGTTGGACTGAAATTTCATTAGATACTCAAAAATTAATTCCAACCGACGGTTTCCACTGTAACTTGTATAAGTCTATCCGTGCTATTGATGATAAAGATGAATTAACATTAACCACTTTAATAAAGAAATCAAGATCAGGTATTATGAAGGAAATTAGTGAAAACAGTTTAGAAAGTATTACTCGAATGTATGATTCAATGATGAAATTACAACAGCTACTAGAGTTGGAAGAATTTGGCCGTTACATATTTGACGGATTAGACTTAGCTGATTTGTTTAAGGAATGGGATCAAAGATTATCGACTCATAACCTTAAAAGCGACTTCAGTTTAATAGAGCCAATCATTACACTTCGTTGTACTTCGCTAAATTTAATACTTGCATCTAACTATCCACAATACAATATCAGTAATCCTCAATATAAAGTTGAAGTAGCGCCGATATTAAACGCTCTAACCAAACACCTACAAATGTATGCAAAGTTGGCGCGACAAGCTGGTCGATATCAGTTAGCAGAAAATGTCTTATTTCGTTGGAAGCAATTACTCATTAAGTACAACCAAGATAAAGTAGATATCTGCAGTAATTGGCATTGCCAATTGGAAGAATCACAGTTATTTTGGGCTAAAGGTGAACAAGATGTTTGTAAATGCATTATACAGAGTTTAATTAGTGATATAGAACGGCAACAGAAATCAAATGGTTATAATGACAACAATGTTAAAGCATTGTATTGTCGTGCATTAGGTCTGTACGGCAAATGGCTGGGAGACAGTTATTCCGAAAATCCAAACAATATTATTGAAAATTACTTAAGTAAATCAATACAGCTATTACAAAATAGTATCGAAGAAATGCAAAGTATTTCTATTGATGCATTTTTATCGCTAGGTTGTTATGCTGATGCACAATATCAAAAAATTGTAACTTATTTAAAATCGAATGAATTTGAAGAAAAAAAGCACTTGATTCGCCAATCCAAATCTGATTTAGAATTACTAAAAGGCACAAAGAGCGTTAATACACAAGATAATGCTAGACGATATAAGAAATTGTTAGAAATACAAAGTAGAATTGACGAATCGGAAGAGAAGCAATTGCTTGATGACAAAATCAAATTTCTAAAACTTGCAATTACTAATTACATTCATTGCTTACAATTTGGTGACGATCATGATGTGCGTGTATTTCGCTTATGCTCATTATGGTTTGAAAACTGGCAGTACCACAATATCAACGAAATTATTGGTCAAGAACAACTAAAAATACAATCAAAGAAATTTCTTCCATTAATGTATCAACTAGCAGCTAGAATGGGTAGTTCTACGGCAGAAAAACTATTTACTGATAGCCTTAATCAAATTATCTTTCGCACTGCGCAAGAACACCCGTTTCATACTTTACCAGTGATATTAGCACTAAGCAACGCAAAAAAAGATTTTACTTATATAGGCGACAGCTTGAGTAAAAATTCAAGCGAAAGTCTTAAAGCACGGTCAAATACTAATAAACGCGATAGCTTACTAGTTGATCAAAAACTGACCGATGCTGCTAGGAATATGATTGCTAGATTGAGTTTTAGTAAAATTGGAAACTTAATTGATACGTTAGAAGGACTTTGCAACGCATACATTGAACTAGCATATTCTGAAGTACCTCATCAATATAGGTATATGCGGACATCAGTTCCAATTCCATCTGATTTAGCATTACTTAAAATTAATGCTAGTCACCAAGCGCCAATGTTAACCTGTGATATCAAAATTGACCCTACATGTGAATATGAAAATGTCATTTACATTGAACAAATTGAGAGCCATTTTCGCCTGGTTGGTGGCATTAACTTACCAAAGATAATAAGTTGTATTGGTACAGATGGAGTAACAAGACAACAATTAGTCAAAGGCAAAGATGATTTACGACAGGATGCTGTTATGCAGCAAGTGTTTTGTTTAGTTAATATCTTACTATCAAGTGACGTCGAAGCGTCGAAGCGTAAGCTCCGAATAAGAACGTATAAAGTAAGTTAAATGCATTAGATTATCGCAATATTGCTATCTATTCTATATCAGAGTACAGTAGTACTCTTGCCGTTGAACTTAGTTGCACTAATATTTTAAGCAGTACATTTTAATTCATTTGATGTAATTAATCTAATTGCAACTACAGTCATTAGAGCACAATATGTAAAAACCACATCTTAGTCACCATGCTAATTTTGACATGCCAGTAGTTGATAACAGCATTATGGCTCATAGGGTCATAGTAATGAATTTAAGATGTTCACAAAAATGAAACAGAGTAGGAATTGTACGTTATTAGTGCACATATTGTTGAAAAAATATTTCGGATAACCTTTCTTATATTTCTCACATAAACTCAAATGATGTCAATTTTTATTGTTTTCCTTTATGGGCGTAATACGCTCGTAGTACATTCATAAAATATGGAAAGTAATTTAAAAAATTTTTAATACTGTAGGTAATTCCATTATCTCAACGTTCTGGTATCGTTGAATGGTGTGAAAATACTCAACCTATAGGTCAATATTTGTTAGGTGGATCTGATATTAAACTTCATGGTGCACATAAGCGTTATAACCCAAAGGATTGGGCTTCGATGGATTGTAAGAGAAAGCTTGCAAATTCAACAAATAAACTTCATTCTTATCATGAAATTACCGATCATTTTCATCCGGTATTTCGTCACTTCTTTTTCGAAAACTTTTTAAATCCTGTTGAATGGTTTGAAAGGCGTTTAGCCTATACAAGAAGTGTAGCAGCATCTTCAATTGTTGGTTACGTTGTCGGGCTTGGTGATCGCCATGTACAAAATATCCTGGTCGACCGAACTACAGCAGAGTTAATTCACATTGATTTTGGTATTGCATTCGAGCAAGGACGTGTACTACCTACACCGGAGACTGTCCCATTTCGTTTAACTCGAGATATAGTAGATGGTATGGGTATAACTGGAGTTGAAGGTGTATTTCGTCGATGCTGTGAAAAGACAATGGCAGTTATGCGTCATTCCCAAGATTCCTTACTAACTATTTTAGAAGTTTTGCTATATGATCCTCTATACGCTTGGAATATTAGTCCATTGAAAGCAATTGCGCTACAACGCCGGCGTAGCAAAGATCATGGATCGACGGAGAACACTGGCAATGAAGATTCGTCTGGCACGCCTTCTGGTGATGAAGAATTACTTGATTATTATAAACGTGGAGATAAAACTACCCAAGATAAATCTTCTGGAAATAAAATGGCTGAACGAGCACTTTTACGCGTTAGACAAAAATTAAACGGTACAGAAAATGGTATCGTATTAAGTATTAGCGGGCAAGTTAATCATCTAATTCATGAAGCGAGAGAACCTAAAAATTTATCAAAATTATTTCACGGTTGGCAAGCGTGGGTTTAGTTCAGTATTAAGAATAAGTTGAGCACATTATAGGATGATGCTCTTCGATTACGTATATTACTAAGTGCAATTTTCGTCAACTCGCGATGTTAAAGTATATTTGTATATGTAGCATCGGGTGTAAAGCTTAACTTTTTATGTATATTGATTGTTGTTTGAGGTTGCTATTAGGGCAATTTGATGAAGTTTATGCCCTGTTGTTTATCTATATGCCATATATATTTGGTACATATTTAGACAACACTACTCGTAGTGAACCTTTGAAGTAACGATGGTGTACAATCCTTGCGGCAACAAAATCACACTACTACTACTACTATTCATTCATTGACTACGGTGTAAAAGTTTATACCTGTGAATAAAAATTTCCTGTGTAAAGAATTACATTAATGACTAACTATTTTTCTTATCATGGCACATCAGATATTGCAATGTTATAATATACTGTAAGAACGTAGCATATTCTTGATACTCCGTCATTTATATAGAAAGAATAAATCAAATTATGACTACACCATAATTTAATATTCCTCTTTACACCTAATACAGTATTGGTATCTAGTACCCGAATTTACATATATATATATTTAGCTTTAGATAATTTAAACATTAAAATACAACATAGCATTATCAATACGTGAGTAAATTTAGTATATCAGATCGAAAATAACTTTTCACAACAACAATATTATTGATCTTCAGTAGGTTTTATGGGATAGTAACCACTCCATTCTGGGCTCTTTAATTAATTGAGTATGCGTAATAGTCGTTTCCAATTGCTAAGGTACATGCTATAGCTGCTCCTACGCTAATGAATGCGATTACTACACCAAATGGTAGCGACTTAGATTCAGGGTGTGGAGTAGATATGGTTTTTACTTCGCGACGAGATTTTGATGACGACCATCTAATGTAGGCTGCAATGTTGCTTGTCACTAAGGCAGATAAATGTTAGTAACCGCCATCTAGAACAATTTTAAGAATTTATGTATTAGTATTACACAATGAATCTTATAGTTAATATAGAATATCAAAGCAATAAATCTACAGTAACAATATCATAAAAAATTGTACATGTATAATTTCTTGCTACTTTCGAAATTCAGCGATGTACGGCATGCACTAATCTTAGCAATAAGCATTCTAATTGATTATGATTTATAAACGTATTATTATGTATTTCACCGAATAACTTTATTTCTGGACGATTTTTCAATAGAATGCTTATATTATTATTAAATTGTGATACAACGAAATCGAAATTATCATTAATGAAAATCGAAAAAGTATTTCTTTCATAGTACTATTCCATTGCAAATTAGACTCAATAACCACGATATTAATCCCAATCATACCGACTATAAACACCGACTTATCGCTTAAAAAAGCTGTTATGAATATTTACTGCGATCTTTTTCCTAATCATTCAAGATTATAATATAAGGTAAAATATTTTATAATTTCTTAGGTCAATGATCATGCCATTTCTAATTTTAATAAAAAGATTCTACTCTGTTTATTGAATGATTGCACTCTTACTAATGTCAGTGAAAATTATTTTCCTACAAAGTACAATAGTATAATACTAATACAGTAATAAAATTTTTCAATTTAAAAAATATTGATTTTCAACAAAGAATAGCAATGCATATTTTGTTCAGTTATCCAAGTTACCATGAAGAATGTCAGGGTGAAAGTTTTTCCATCATTTCATACCGAGCGCTTCTTTATTTGAATCTTTCAATTTAAGTCATCTCTTTCACTATAAAGCATGAGGTATATACGTGTATAAATCCCATTTTACTTTACCTAAGATTTGGCAAGGATAGGAATCTAACGTATGCCAACTCCCTACAATCTCCCATACAAACTGGTCTGATAACTTCGAATTAACATGTCAAAATAGCAACTAGCATTGATGCAAATATACGCATAGGTCATCATCTCATTCGCTATGCTTGCTATCTTGCAATCGATAGCTTAACCAGTCGATATCCACGGGGTCTAATTTAGGTAAAATATACAAGGGCCGGATGATGGTATGTTTGCTCAACAACAAATAGTTGCGACAGATCTATATAGTGCTAAGCATGTTATTGATGAATAAAGTACGGTCAATACTGTTACTAGTAGTATTTGTTGATTATAGCTAACGATATTATTTTCACGACTACAACAACTTCCTTCATTTAAACAAATATGTGTAGAAAATAGGCCTAGCTTAGAATGAAATAATTAATATTTATCTATGCCATAGGCACAACAATAATTTACAAAATTCTTTTCCTTTTTATCGCAACCATGAGCTACTAAAACACCGGTATTTTTAGTCTATGTTGGAACTAATCAGCCTTGCTCTGAATCGATATAAGGAAAGCACGTGTCAAAATTAAGGCTGGACGAGCTAAAAAGTGGTTGAGTTTTCTCAAGTTAATACAGATTCCAAATTATTTGCATCGACATAATAAAACTCAACCCCATTAATGACAGGCGATATGATATGTAATTCATCATTGAATCGGTGATATTTCTATTCCGTGGTAGACTTCGATGCTAGCTATCTACGACTACACTCTATTCAATCGAACCATCGACCAAGAAAAAATTCTAGCTTTCCATGCTCTACCGTGGTCCTACCTTGAAGCGGGTTATTGCTGCTGCTTTCACGGTGCACATACATCATCGAGTATCTTGGATTGTTCATCGTGGTAGTTTTATTGGTATACCAATGATTATTGTTTCTTGATTCAAATGGATTATAGAAATGTCGTAGTTGTATCGCAGAACGAAATGCCAAGATGTATGATATTATCTGTCTGCTATGAGCACATGGATTTACGTCAGTCCAGTAGTAAAGTAATCCTACTGACTATGCAGTCGCATATCACCATATTTATCAGCAAGAGGCTATTTCTACTCTACTCTCCAATTTAGTGCAAGAGAAGGTAAATCTATATGAAATTGATTCGTTGTGCTATCTAACCCCATTCGATTAGGAATGGCAGTCAATAAGCACATTACTGGGTAGGTAAGTTTTCCAAGAGCCGAAGCTAACAAGTGAGGGATTAGCGTAATTTTAAAGGAAAGCCTTGTTCGCTCTGTCTGACTCTTTAAACTAAAATTATGGTCAATAGAAGGGATAGTATGATTTTCACAGGGCTAAAAGTGAGCAATAATTGAAGCTAACATACTTATTACAGTATCTGATCATTCCAGATTAACAATTATAGTAAATAGAAAAAATAATATGATTTTTTTCAAAAGGCTGAAACTGAGCACCATTGAAATCTAAGCATTTATTGCGTTATCCTACACTATTACAGTACATTAAAAATTACAATAAATGAAAGGGATTATGTGGTTTTTCAAAGAGCTGAAAATAAATGTTATTGAAATTAAAGGATCCACTGATCATTATGCTATCCTGCCATATTCCATAAGAATAATGGCCAATGAAGGAATGATATGATTTTTATAAAGGCCTGAAACTAAGCATCATTACAATCAAAATGATTTATTGCGCTATTCGACTATATTTACATTTAAGAATTATATTAAGTGAAAGGAATTATGTACTATAATTTTCCATATGGGCTGCAGCTTAGCATGGTTGAAAGTTAAAGTATTCAATACGTTATCTGACCATAATTCTCATCGGCTAAGAATGACGGTAAATTAAGCATTTATTGCGTTATCCAACGGCATTGCAATAAGAATTAGAGTCAATGAAGGGGATTATGTGATTTTTCGAAGAGCTAAAAATAAGCACCATTGAAATCAAAGCATTGACTTCTATATCCTACTCTATTTGATTAGTAAATGAAGGAATGTTATGATTTCTTCTAGGGACTAAAAGTAAGCATTCATTACGTTATCGGACTATACAAGTATTACATTAAGAAGTATGGTAACTGAAAAGGATTATGTAATTTTTCTAATAGGGTTGCAACTTAGCATCCTTGAAGTCAAAGTATTCAATGAACTATCTGACTAGAATAGGTTAAAAAATGACGGAATGATATGATTTTTTCAAAGAGCTGAAACTAAACATCATCGAAATCAAAGCCGTCATGACGTTATCCGGCTATATTCCATTAATATCATTTTTTAAAGGGCTGAATCTAAGCACCATTGAAATCAAATCTTTCACTACTTCATTTACCCATACAATTTATTCAAATTCAGAATTACTACGAATTGTAGGATTATGGTTTGCAAAAGCTGAAAACTAAATTAAACTTATCGTCGATGATTGAATTTGCTTGATAAATTTGAATGATATTCATCAACTTTGATGATGACTGTATAATTATATCGCCTTATTGGGAGTAAATACATTGGTATAACTCTATTTATTTGCTACCACGAACTGCACCTAAATGTAAGTAAATAACTTAACTCAAGATAGAAAAATTTCTCAATTTTCCACGCGGACAAATTGCATGTTAGCCTTGAGCAGCGTCCTACTTGGTTCGATCACAGCCTATCTTCATTGATAACCGTATAGTGGCAATACTGGGCGTCCCACACTCTTGTTGCGTGTGATAAGAAATGGCGAACGTCGCATTTCTAGCGATATAGACTAGAGAGATTTCAGCAGCAGGAAGAAGGGCGGCAAAATTGGCCAGATTCATCCACTATGGGTCCAGTACTGTAGTTTAGAATAGTTTTATATCGTATCAAAGTTTCTCGTTTTCACAGCCAAGACGATAGCATGATAACGAAATATGCGCTAGAAATAATTTATCGGTATGCGATAGCAGATAAATTTCTATCCTTAGCAATCCGATCTTGATCTTATTTTCATGTCTTTGATGCTAATTTAATCTAATTTTGATAGTATAAACAAATCAGTTGATTTGTAATAGGTGGAAACGGTATAAATCAATCAAAATTGGCACTAAATTCTGGAGGTATTTCAAGAAATTGCTTGTGACAGTTTAGGGATTTTATTGCTCGGTAGGGCGATACTGTCTGCCATGCTAATATCGTACAGTGACGAGCGACTATCGATGAATTCTAATTCCATATTGACCAGCAGAATAGCAGACTACTCGTATTGACATAGAGTACTCCATTGTATCGTATATAGCATGAGGCCTATGCAGTACAAACTTTAGTTAATATAAGTGTAGTCTAGCTATGGACATCTGGAATTGATTTGAATAGTCCGATGGCAATATCTTTTTATGTCGCCTAGAACGATGGCCATAGCCATCAAGCAGTCTAACAAATTGCAATAAAATCTAACGCCTAAATAGGTAGACCGATACAATGACTGACCGTGATAGTGGTTGTTTGAATTAGGTGAAAAGAAACATGCCTGTGTAGAATGATATCAGCGAAGGAAAGGATTGCCACCAAGATACATTGTCGTTTTATCGCAGTTTATCCTACAGCATGTCGATCAGCGGCATATCAATTTGACTGTCCCACTGCACTAAACAGTTTACTTTTGGTAAGTCCGATAAATAGCTCTTGAAATGCTTCTATCCTACTACTTACTCGGCTGTACCAGTGCTTGACATCTGGAATAATCTCTCTCTTTTTAAAGTAGTACAATATAGCCCTGATTTTATAAACCGGAAGTAAAGTGCATTTGCAAGAGATAAACTACTTATGCCCGTGTAATAAATAATTGGCATTGTTATATTGCAGTGGTATCGGACTGTTATCAGTTTTCTCTTTTTATCATCAAGATCCCTGTACCAATGTGCTGATTGAAGAAGAGCCGCGAATACATTGCATTTGAAGGCTTGCATGAAAAAATAACATGCTTTTTATTATCATTATTTTGATTTCAATTGAAAAACAGGTACTCTATGTTGTTATGTGATGTATAATAATGAATTAGAAATGAAAGTAGTCTTTAGTTTTACGAAGAAAAAATAACTTGAACATATTACGATAACTATTGCCAGTGTTTAGCGGTAAGTATCCAGACTCGAAGCGATCACGACATGTGCCTGGCTTGAACAACAACATTTAGTATATGTCTATGTCAATAGCAAGAAAGCTTATTAAAATACAATTACAGCACTGAAGAGGATAACAATCCTGATGACGAGTAATACTTCCATCTGAAGCATCCTACTGCTACGTCCATACTTTAGGGGCAAAATGTTGCAATCGTTGCAATTAATCGCATATTTAATAAAACAAACCAACTGCGGCATTAAAAGATTATAACTGCATCTTCAGTAAATAATAACCAAATACAGTTGACAATCAAAAAAAACTAGCAAAATTCCATCACCATAATAAATTGCAGAACAAACTTCATATTGTACAGTCATTAAGTGTTATCGTCCTACTAGAACTGATTCTCAAAATTATTCCCGCAAAAATCATCCGCTGTATCGAAGAAAATACAGCTCTTCCACTAGCAAAACTAACTTAACTGTGCATTATACTGCACTTGTATCTGAACCCCATAGTACACAGTAGTTGATAAAGCAATGGTTTCAATGCATAGAACATGTTGATGAGATTGAATGGAAATTATGCATACAAAATTACTTTTCAATTGCTAACAATCAATGTATTTAGCCACAGTACTATACATTTGCGCACTGTATAACACTGATAAATTATTTAAAGCAATTAGTTTTTATCTACCCAAATTTTTCATATTGACTCTAGTTAAAGACATAAGCGCTGCAACAGCGTCCGTTTGAGAGGCTACCGAAGGACTCGTCGTTGCTTGATTAGCTGGAACCATTTGCTTCTAAAAATGGAGGTGATCGAAGGAACGAATTGCAGATGTTACTGCAATATGGGTGCTTCATCATTAAACTAGGAAGATTCGCTAGCTGTTGACTGTATGGGTGTTGGAACCTATAATAATTCACTTTTAAATGCAATATACTCTTCATTACGTCCATGCCAGATCGGATTAGGATTTCTTCTCTTCGTTCTGGTGGAACTTCGGGAAAAATTTTTCCTAACCATTCGCACCAATAATAACAAGCGTCATCTTTTGGGAAATTTCCATCCTCTATGAATATAAAGGTAAATATTTATTTTATAAACGTACTAGATTCGCAAGTTACCAACTGAATATAGTCGCATAAACATTTTAGAGATGTATAACTAAGCGCTCCCAACTTTGAACATTAGATAAGCAAAGTTCCTTATTTATTTTCCAAGACACTTTGAAATAAATGTAGCATAAGAACGACAATGAAAATAGTTGTCATCGCCATTACTGTAGTTGATATTTAGTTTACTTGCGCTTTCTTAAAATTTGTAAACAATTTTTCAATATGTTTTGTTCATATTTCAGTATACTGTAAAGAAATAGTGATAACGTCACAAAAATTACCGAAAAGGAACTCAACTACTGACAATTCGCGAACAGCTTAAAATGACAGTATCTCGTAAAATTTCTTTATTGTCGATCTTCATTAGAGCTCATTATTATTCACTTGGCTAAGCAATAACAAAGATCATTTCAGAATAATATCAATCATAGGCGCTAATATTTTTCTATATTAGCATTTCGGTATGATTGGCTAGCAAATTGGAAGCTATAACTAATAAGCCAAGCGAGCTTTCACCTATACAATGCATTACCGTGTTGGACTTGGGCATTACGATAGACTTAATTGCTAGAATGTCTACCATGTTTTACTAGCTAATAGTAGGTCCATAAATTGATTTGCCTATTCTTTGATGTTACAGTAGTAAATTTCTCCCATCAGTGTTTTGAAATTCTCTAGACAGACCGCTGAATACCTGACGAGATATACTAGTAAATTTCCAAAAATCACAGGCTAATTCGCGTAGTACTAGTAGAACATTTCACAATAGCACCTATGTACAGTATTGCCAAATTGTCAATTCCAACAATCCTATGGATAATAGATTAGCTCGGGACGTCTTAATTGTTTATCTGCTGTTGATGTATGACAATATATGACGAAAATTTCTACGAAATTTAGCCGGCAGAATACCAACAGTACAAATTTTGTATACATATACTGTATACAAAATGAGTATATACGTATTACGACGTGGTATTTCAATTTACGCGTATAGCACAATACAGTGAAAAATACAAATACGTACAGTATCTGAAATAAAATCTATTCGATGAAATGACTCTCCCAAGATACCGTCCCCTACTACTTTGAAGCGTAGAATAGCATATAATACTAAAAAAACCCTGAACAATCCTCTATGCAGTTCATTTCAGCCATTTACAGCAGTTAATTGACAAAAATAGAGGATAATTAGGAGGTTCGAATTCAATGTACTATCAAGTAAGTCAAAGTGCAATTTAATTTTGTGAAATGCTACAGCTTGAAAGAGTACTGTCACTACCTGTATCACAAAGCATTCAGTAAAGTATAGCTTGTAATAAGACATGCATCATGACCATATTTCCTTTAGGCAACAACCTTGCATTTTTATTTTATTAAAAGGCATTTTCCGAAGAAAGGTATAGTTTGTATCGTTTTATCAAGACCTACCGTGTGAAGCGAATTCATTGGAGTTGTACGAGTCAGAGTTGCGCTTTTTTTTAAAATATTCTTTGCACTTATCACAATCACATTCATTGTAAGGACAAGTGGGTTTATGATCTTTAACTGGAATCTCGATTCCATGTCGTCTACATCTTGCACACATGGGTGTTTTACGTTTCTGTTGTGGCTTAATGCTATGAACTTTACGATAATTATCCGCCATTCCCAACGCAAGCTTCCCACTTTGCAATTCGAGCAATCACGACGCGTAACCAATAGCGCACTTGAAGCATGGATCCCTTCACCTTCAATCACGCTCGTATTTATACCGTCAGTTTATTCACCTCAGGCTAGACGCAATTGACGCTATCTTTCAAGGCAGTCCAGTAGATCAACAAAAACGTCAGATAGCGACGGTATCTGACGTTGTACGCATGATTGGGGACTGTCATGGGCGTACCTGGGATAGAGATTTTCACCTGTATCAGTTGGTATCAGTAAGTGGGTGTCGATAGAATAACGCAATCTTCAACGATAAACATTATCGCCTGTATTGTACCTTGAAAGCGTCGTCGGATCTTGACCTACGATAGGCTATTACGACTGATTGCTTACTATGCATGACCGAGGCTATCGTACTGACCGGACAGCATTGGGACGATAACAACATTACAAAATACTCTTCAACTAGCATACGAAAGCACACAGCAATGAAATCATTTTGCTTTCTTTGCTAGGAGTAGTATACAAATTTGCTAGTGCTCAACTTGAGCAAGGACTGAAAGATGGCTTCTATCAATTCTGTCATCGCTGGAAATGCTTACTGAATTAGGACCATTTCAAATACGATCATGAGTTACCATTGGTAAAAATTGCATCTTCTAGTCCTCAGTCAATTACCCTTCTCACGGATACTGCAGTCATTGGTAGTCTACCTTATCGTACCTTCGCCTTTATGGATCGATGAATATCTTATCGACTGTGTACGGTACAGACGCTGGAGATAAAAAAAAAAGTCATTGCTGGTTGTTGGGGGTATTCCATTTATTGAAAAGCACGCAAGAGATTAAAATCGAAAGCCCAAACTCTGACAGCCCTAATGACAGTTAACAACCAATTGTGTCCCAATCAAAACCCATAGTGTGTGCTCACTTGGGCACACGCGTGGATTTTCCCGCAGCTTGTAATTTTTCCCGTGGTATTTGTTTAGAAATCACCTCTTGTTTCAAGGTACTTCTTTGCAATAAAAAAATGGCTCATTTCCACAAAGGACTGGTATATTGATTGGCAATAAAACTCTTCTTATGACTATGTATGAAAACATAGTTATAATATAATCGAAGTGAGTGTATATTACCTCAGTCATGGAAGAATAGAATTTCACAGTCCAAGCAATACCGTCAAATTGCATGAGTAATTAAATTATATAATTACATATAGTGTATTTAGGCGTCCATCATCTTGGCTAGCCTAAGTAGCCAAACAGCGCAATAAATTGATATACTGCACCGAAATATCTGATTTACAAATTCAATCTTCGGTAAAGTAATGCTTTGTGCAAAATCGGATAGAACAATATCACGGAAAAATGTGAAACACGATACGTAAAAATATTAACCTCACCTGCAATATACAAGTACTATTCAGTATGACTCTCTGTACCATATTCATTTTATCCCAAAATGCGATACAAGTTATATATAAATCATGAATTGTACTTTATTATTCTGAGTAAGCAAGGTACAAAAATACAAATTCAAATATTTACTACGGATAGAATGGTGCACGTGCGCTAGAGAAAAAAAAGGACAACTATCACTAACTTGCTACAACTCACTTCATCAAAGGCTGCCTCATGAATAGACAATAAATCAGGGACTTCTTAGAGGAAATTCTTCATGACTTTACTGTGATAAAGTGCCAATTTTAAATACAATCCTATGTTGCCAAGACATTAACACGATCTGAGGGAGATATTTTTCCTAATTACACATTTTTGATATCAATGCGTCTACCTACATTAATACTTGCAAGTCTCGCATCCATCGATAACTTATCTAATCGCGAATCTTTTTCGAACGCATTTTTTGGTATTTCGTTCACAAGAAACTATTCTGACAACTGTACTTTATTTCATGTAATATCCTCATATGTAGGTGTTGTGTCTATCATACTAATACAGGTCGTTACAAAACTGCTTAAACTTGTCTATTTCATTGACTTACTGGCATTCAACTGCTTCCAAATTAGTTAACAATTTCAATAATTCCATTAATTGCATTATGACGTTTCCAAATTATAGATGTAGAACTTATGAAATTAAGTATCAGAGCCGATTCATGACATTGTTACACTAGACACAGGGTTAAAAATGTTGCCTATCTGCACAGTGAAGTCAAGTTTATATATTAAGGCAGAGTTTCCTACTTGTAAATCTTTCCAATGCGGAAGTACTGGACAGATAGCGTTTCAGTACACGTGCACTGTAATTGAGCCATACCATGGCAGGGAAATGACGATTAAAAATCATATCCTAATTCATAATTAATTCATAATGGGAATTTATTTGTCGTCTTATTATACGAGCCTATTAAAAACACTTCCAATACAGCATCCGAACCAGACTAGTAAATTATCTTACAATGTCATCGCAGAATCGCATATTGCGCGTATGGATATTCTATAGGCTAAGATACTATCGTCTCACCCGACGTACATAGCGTTCCAAGTAAGTAAATACCCATTTACTGTAGTGCTTTATCTTCTAAATGAAACCTGATAACTAAAATCGCTAATCCTGTTTTGAATTTTCCTTGTTGGACAATATACATTATACTGTATGGTACACGTTGTGTCAGTGAAATGATTACATTACAATGATTAACAATATACTTGTTCTATCAATTGGCAGCAAAATAATAATTATCTTCGACATGGAACGACATGTATGACCGTCGCATTAACTACCCTTTTGCTTATTCAGTAACTTCAAGCAGCATAGTGTCATGCAGTAATTTATTATTCATGTATTGCCGTTTATTCCTTCCTATACGTTAAAAGTAATTTCATTCTTGTTGCTTAACCAGATGATAGTGCCTCCTCTTAATTGTTCGTTTGATATATAAAAAGATGACACTTCCTACACCAGAAGCCATAATTATTATTAATACCACTGCCAGAATGTAATTTGGTACTAATTTTCCACTGGCTCCACTTGCTTGACTATGTTCACCCTTTAAAGTTAACCAACGCAAATGAGCAACAATCAACACAGTAGCTGTAGAGGAGATATGCTGATGACAACCATCTTAAATAAAACAATCGAAATTCGAGTCAATAATATACCTTTTGTAATAGAAAGTTAGGCATTCAATTAATTTCTATTGCGGAAAGCTTATAAATTTTACTATTCTAAGTGAAGAATTATGATGTAACGGATGACGATATTTCTGAGTAACTGTAAGTAATAATATCACATTAGCTAAAATCCATTTAAACTTTAAATGACGCAAGTACTTTACTTTCAAATACCTGTTCCAGTGCTATCGCTTCGTTTGCTTCGTGAATAGTATGGCGCTAACTTGGTGCCGTTACTAGGATTCAGTTAAATCATGTAAAGAAGATCAAGTAACTATATCAATTCATTATGTTACCACTTTTCTAACTTTTTATCATTAAATGATTAAGCTACTGTTAACATAACCACATCGATGGCACTGTGCTCTCTCAATATATAATGTTCAAATGTAAGTAATATAAAATAAAATATCTGCCATATTAATAGAACAGTAAACTAGTCGCCAACCGTAGATAATTATGCTGATAGAACGGCATTTGTTGTCAATATCAATTCTTCGAAAGACTGGACTATTACGAAATAGGATACCTTACTTCTCTACTTTAAAGTTGATGGAGATTTTCGTCTTAATTATATACCAGTAGCAGTTACCATTTATAATTCAAAATAAATTTAGCAATACAAAAAGATAATAGTACCTCTCATTAGGAAATATGGATGTGTAAGTTCCATTATATTGCATATAGCAGCCTTGAGTTGTTTGCCACTCTAACACCATGTCAACGTATGTTTCATTAATAAAATCTTCGAAAAATTCTAAAGAGCCACATACATCGACCTGTTCAGTGAATAAATCTTGTAATTTTAAATTAGTTAGGCCTTTATACAGAGAGCTGTACATTTCTTTATGTACTCTTGAGCATAGAATAGCCTCTAGATTACCAACACTGCCAAAAGCTGAAGATAAGGGGGCAATCTGATGTTGACAGTGGAATTGGCGACCAAATGATAATGCCAATACTTGATGTGTAATTATATAATTGTTGCTGTGTAACTGAGAAATAAACTTGACGCAAATATCTGGAACAAATCAAAGAATCAAATAGAACTATTACTTAGTTGTCATAATTTATATGAACTATACGTCTATAAGAACCAGATACAGTATACAACTATACGTACAGTATACGTATGTAACCATGATGCAACACATAAAAATAAATAAATCGAGAACATAGCACAAGTATGGGCATGTTGCATGCTATTGATTGGGAACATTATATTGCATTTTTAACATAGTCCAATCCTTTTTAGATAATGGTAAATTGCTTTCATAAGCTTACAGACTTTCGTAACCAATTTAAGATTAGTACGGTCAAGAATCACCTGATAAATTACATGGTCGTCTATAATATGGCCAGGATCCAACTATCTCCCATAAGCATTGATTGGAATAATGACGAGACACTGAATGTTCTTGGCTTTGCTGTACATAGGTGTGATTAAGCTTTCGTAATTTTCGTGGGACTTTAAAATTTCTAACGTAAAGCGGTATCAGAAATTTATACTGGTAGTGTTTTTGGCTGATAGTGGGTGCAGTATCTTCTATCAATCCTCTAAACCTATCGTATAATTTTGTCACACGATCCAATTGATTATGACTTAATAACGATTCATTTCTAGATGCATCTTCTAAAATGGTTCTTAAGTACCCTAGCAAATTTGATGACAATTTTATAGTATAAATTAAAGCAACATCCTATGTGACATTCACTAACATAATACCTATATTTCTATCTTATATTACAATAGTTTATCTATTTCATAACGTATAGTCGCTATCTACAAAAAGATTTAGGAGGCAAGCAAGCTAATAATAATTCAGTAAGGGAATTTTATTTAGACTAATAAAAGACTTGTCAAAGGACATTTTGCATTCTACGAGGTAAATTGAAGTCAGTTAATCTAAAAATGGTAACCTAATCTGTATTCGACAATAAAATAACAGAATACAGGAACATTCTAACAGCAAACACAATTCTACCAACGTTAATCGAATCATTTTTATACATATTTTCTCTATCATTAACTGTCGTGATCTTGTGAAAATTTAGCCAGTTCAGAGTTTGAACTTAAATTATCTCTCGGATTCGCCTTTTGTATATTACTAGGATCTTACCTTTAGTAAAATGAAATGACAAGGTACTATCAATGATTATCTCTTGCTTGATTGCGCTGTAATAGTCAGCCAGACCTTCGATGGCGTAAATCATTCGATCATAATCGATGTGAGCACATTGATTTTGCCTAATAAGTAAAGTTAATATAAGAACGAAATCGGGAAAAAGTTTAAACGCTCTTACCATTTTAGCTAATTAAATCGCTTCTAATGTAGTTAAATAGCTAAGAAAGCTTTTGAAGAATAACGATTTAACTTAATATATGTACACACATTAAATTGTACCGTAACCAATCCGTCCAGAAATTATGCAACATCCATATCAATACCACCTATATTGCTACGAAAATTAATTATTAAACCTGGCACATAAAGAATGAATGCATTAGTAATTCTGTTCTTTATAGAGTTGAATACAATATATTCTTTGCTAAAAATAGACTAAATCTAATAATTTATGCCCTTGGCTTTCAAAACAAAAAAATGCATAGGAACCGTTGCACAGCATTTAAAAATAGAATGCTTCTTAATTACATCTGTGTATTAGATTGAGCTATATTAAATTGGAAGCTGTCGAACGTTAATTGGAAGTATTTGTGATGAGTGGAACACCATTGCGGCTATACTGTATCTGTCTTGAAACTGTTGTAGTAAAATTATATGCTTCAGGGTGTTAAATTATCCTCTCAATCTCATGCATTGTAATCTATGTATACAGCTGCTACGAATCTTGACCACTTGATAAACTTAATTAACGACAATAGTTTTCCACTTTTACTCTAACGTATAATGATAGAGTGCAAAGTATTATTTGTGTGTACTATTAATCTTCCGATCGCTAAAGTAAATGTTTCCCTATACTATCCCGACTACTCCTTTCTTTCAACCTAAAGAGCTTCTTCGTTACTAAATTCCTCTGATGAGTTTACGAGAAGATAAAGGATATCATAAAATCTACTCCCTTTACAAATTTTGTCACGATCTAATCCATGATGTGTATCTATTTCCAGATTTAATATTCGAAATTTATAATCAACCCTTAGAGTAATACTGTACCGTGTTTTAAATACCATTTAGTACAGCATTGATCTCAATAAAGGCTACCATTTAAATAGCCCATGCAATACTATCATCACTCATTTTTTTATATTGAATAGGTATAAAGAAATTGCCGGATATTAATTACACGGCTGAAGGAACTAGTATGTAAGTAAATTATTCATAAAGTGATCAATTTAATTGTATGTACTAATTATACATTAAGGTAGTATATCCAATTTACCTAATACCGTTAATTGATTCAAGTAAATACAGTAATGTTCGTCGAGGATCAATTACTATGTATTATTTCTACTTTTCTATAATACTAAAAATATAAAGAAAGGTCAAAAATTTTCGATTCATGAATAATCAGCTAAAGATTTCAGTAGTTTCTATGTTGCTATTTAACGTACCGAATTAGCTATAGCTAAAACGATAATTCTAATTTTCAGGACCAGTCTCATACTTATTGACACAGGTTTACACTAATGCAAGTTGACTACATTTGTATAATTGTAAGCACGGATGCTGAACCATTAGTCCTACTTACTAATATAAATAGCTAAAGAATAGATTATTATGTAAGAATGTATAGCTTATCGTAAGGTTTATCGTATACTATCTAAGCGTAATATATAATGCTTTTATATCTACATAGTATTAACCATATTAGCTTTCATCAGCAACAGTAAGTCATCAGTTTAACAACTAGACTATATTTATGAGAGTTTACTACATAGAATACAAGAATAGGATAATGTCGGTACTTACTTTACCATAATTTGTCAATACTCCACTGTTGTACCCAATGATTGAAGCTCATAATGTCAGAACTACTTTTAAACATATTTTTTTGCTGTATTATAGTATACGTCTCTTTATAAATTGCAATAAAATTTATAAACCATGTAGCAGTTCAGTTCCGTATTGCTGCATTAAGTCTATCTGAAGACTTAACCATGGTCTTACTACTATATGAGTAGATATTGCAATTGGTAGATTGTAGCAATATGTGGCTTAGATATGGCTGCATATTTCAACATGTATGACATCAGAGAAAGGTAATTATGACTGTCTTCAAAGCTTCAAATTGCAGGATTATATTTTACTTCATTGCCATTATCATCAACTTTTACTATATACACCGTTGTATTCTTCATATTATTCTTTCTACTGTCTTTAATATTTGCTAGAAATGACCAATTTTGAACTGAACTATTAACACAATTCATCTAGATACAAGTAACAGTCTATTAACAGAATCTCATTAACCCATGCATCTACAGTATTCTCAACTATACTACAGATTATATACCATTATCGATATCGACAGGTGATGGATTCAATCTAACTCGATTTTTTTCTTAGATACGATAGCAAGTTTAGTATAATCAATCTACTATCGTTATAAGAAGAACGGTATAATAGGGCTTCGTACTTGTTACTCTTATGCTACCATATACTCCTAATGCTAAGTTTTTAATAGGACAGAATCTATAATTTTCGTACGATAACCCTTAAACTTGTAGCAACTAATTCAAGACAAATAATGAAACTCTTTTTTAATGCAGCTATGCTATCATGTTAATAATTTGTTAAGTATCCGCACTGAACTGCAAATAGAACACGAATTGTGATAGGGTAGAATAAAGTTTATGTTAAAGACCGCATTTATAGGGATTGCATATAAACTCAAGCATTTGCCACCCTAACTATCATCAATTTAACAATCAAGGACTATTAATTTTTTCTGTTCAGATTTTCTTACGTTGATCACTTTATTCATAAACTCTTACGCCATGGTGACAGCGAATATTTGTACGATCTACATAGTCTTTGCGAATCTAGGCTATACGACAGTCTAAATGTTGCTCTATTCCTTCGATTGGTACTCGCTCATACACACATTTAAATACAATTTTATTGAAATTGCTATTTTAATGAAGGTGTTCATATAACGAAGCTAGCTAGACACAATGTCTTACCTTCAGTAGTATTATTAATAACTGAACTTAAGCTATCTTGAACTGATAACTCGATAGCCTTGTCTTTCGCGATGGAAAGGATTAGCAAAGTAAACGAATAGTAGTGAAATAATGACAGCAATGACTACAATGGTAATAACGATACCAGCTACAATGCCTGGTGATAAAGAAGCAGATTTGCTTATGCTTGTTACTGAAATAGATTTGCTCACGTCTGTAACTGAAGTAAAAGTGGTTGTTAGTAATTGCTCCCGGAACGAAAGCCAACGTAAATATAGAGCGATATCAATCATTGCTAAAGCCGTCATATGTTCATGGCATCCATCTATAATTAAATGGAAGCATAGGTTTCAAAGGTTAGATACTACTAAATGAAAGATAAATACTAGTATTCGCTGTTTAATAGAAATACATTTTACCCTTAGTTATTGATAATTATCGAATCAGTCACATTGTAACCTATGTAGTACTTATGTAATTATATAATTAAAAGACTGACTAATAACGATATGGTGTAAATAGAATAACGAATTAATAGTAAAAAATTCATTTTTAGATCGCCACTTCATATAGGCGGATAATAAATGATAAAGCTGTATCTGTATTACCTGGTGAAATTAGATTAGCTAGTAGCTTTCGGGTTTTCCTAAGATGATAGATGTCACTTATGCCACCGCTACTTTTGGTAGAAGAAATGCAAGTTATGCATCGTTAGCAAATGTTACATTTCAATTTTTAATAGGATTTTAATTTATTAAAGAGTTCTCCGTAAACCAATACTAGAATAGCAATGCTATTTTTTAGATACTATTGTTTCATAATTTATGGCTAATAGATAACCTACTTCCTAGCCAATTTGGGGTGTAAACTAATATATTGTCCATGGTAGGGCGAGAAACATCCATCTTTGGTTCGCCATTTTAGGATCATAGATAAAAATTCAGGACGAAGGAACTGCTGGTAGCCACCAGTACCTCCACAGATATAGATCTGCTCTATGAATAAATCTTGCATCTTTCCAGTAACTAAACCTTTTTCTAAAGCTTTCGTCATTTGATAGTAAATACGAGTACACAGAGCCTGTTTTACTTTTTCAATTCCACCTAAATTTTGGCTGAGTTGATTCATTTTCTCAGTACAGTTAAATTGCTCACCAACAAATATTAATAAAAATTGATGAGTTATTATGTAGCCCTCTGTACTAAAATCCGTCAGTCCACGCCAGCAAGAATCTTTAACAGTGTGTAACAGAGCAGTAAATTCGGTTACTTCGTTTCAATTAATCTTTTATACGTAGATATATTAGTATAGCATAGATAGACTATAGAGTCGTACGAGCATTTTGAAATTGCGAACTAAATTGACTCAATAGGTATAGTAAAATATTATTACGCCCAATAAATGACTTACCGTTAATTGTACAAACTGGTGGATGACGTAGTCCTCCACCCATCATATCCCACAAGCACTGATCAGATATTTTAATAAAATCTATGGAACTATTGCCACTATTATTAGGAGTATCTTTGACCAACTCTAACTTGGCTAATCGTTCAGGGAATGGGAAAGATGTATGTAGCATTTTACTATGCTTCATATATGCTGAAGAATTACGCCCTGATGTTTCTTCGATTCGCTTTGAAATTCGGAGGGCATCTTGATAAATTTGTTTAAGACGATCAATTTGTTTCTCTTCCAGTTTCGATTTTCCATTCTCATAGCTGTGAATAGTCTGTTGGATTAATGCTACATGTCGGATTGATGAATAGACAATAAAAGTATCATTAGCTATTACAAGATTACATTTTATACGTTAAGAGATTCTTATAGCCCTTCTAAATGATTATTGGTTAAATATTAAAATGCTTGCAATTCTCATATAAGTACAATAATATTAAATCGGCTTGCAGGTAATGATACCTTTTAGAATTTAAGTGCGAGAAATGCAGTAAAGTTGTCTAAATAATGACTATAGATGACAATTTTAAGCTAGCCCCATTACGACGTCAATGTTATCGTCAAACATCGTAGCAAGGTGTTAAGATGCAATGATCAGTTACAGTTATCTCAAGCTTTTACAGAATATCAAAAACTAGATGAACGACATAACGGTCATGTAAGTATCCTAAACATGCAATAATGTGTAATAGTTAAATTGTTAAACACATGGATATAAAGTATTATACTTAGAGTTAACACTTTGTCACAGCTTAGGGTATAGTTAAAGGTCATGGCGTCCATCGATATTATCAAGCATTTTTCGATATGAAGCTTTTTCATATTTTCTCTTTGCTGATTACGATACAAACAGTGATTGAAGTACAGTACAGTAGTTACAAATCCTACTTACCGGTTGTAACTTTTAATCCATAGTAGGCATCTACGATAATATGTTCAGCATTCCTTTCATAGTATTGAAGTAAATTTTCTAAGGCATGCATCATTTGATTATAAGTTGGAGGAGAGTAAGAGCTGCTGGTGATAGTATTACTTACTGCAACCGAAAAAATAGGTAAGGCAAGGAGAAGAGGAGTAAAAGACACCAGTGAGATTTTAAATGTTCTTTTTTTCTTAATATCCATATTTTTGAAGTTAAATGACTTAGTGTAGTTTATTAATATGTGATAGTCTATCTTTTGCTCTTCTTAGGATCTCTAGCATGCATTTTCTCATCAGTACTCAAATTCTTGGCGAATCTAATTGTAATAGAATTTAGAAAGCCTGCCAGGTATTTAAGGTATTAGCTATACTTAAAATGTATTATAATTCCTCGTTATTTCGCAATTTGATTGTATTAGTAAGTAAACTCTAAATCATTTAGGCATGAGATTACAATTGCTAACTTGATTAATGTGAATCAAGTGGTAGAATTTGTAAAATAACATCTATGAATTTTCATAAAGGCAATATCTTTTCATATCAAGAATATATTCATAAATTATATTCGTGTATAATTGTTTTGTAAATAAATATAATTTACTTAGCATAATAGTTTTTGCATTATTCTATTTAGGCAGACGATATTAAATTTTTATTAAAAGATTCATCTATGGATGCTATTAGTCCCAAATAACAAATGAATATCTAACATCATCATTTACTTTAGCTGTCTGAAAGTCGATTGTAGCGAATCTATTATCATTGAATCAAGTAGAGTTTGTGTGACTTCTATGGACAAATTACTTTCGTAATAATAATTTTAACTAGCATACCTTCAATACTATTGATCTTAACTGCTTTAAATTGTATAAAATATAAGTTTAATAGCATATGCTATAATAGAAAATAATTTCATGATACGTATACGTAAAAGTGAACATATAAGATATAGTATAGAGCTAATATTATTTGAATCATATTTAATGAATTATATTTAGTGTACTATAATAAATAAATCTGAGTTTAAAATAACTCAAAGACAATCTATTAGGAATATGATGCACAAGCACTTTCCTTCAGTTATGTCTACTTTTGCAGTTATAATAAAGTAACAAGCTGATTTTATACTACCCGTATAATAAGAGAGGTATTTTTAAGAATGATATCAGTTTATTAAAGTAACAAATATCATTATCATCTACAAGACTTTAGCAAATTGAAACGACAGTGAATGAAAATACTTAATTATTGTGTCTAAAATACATTACGTTTTCATAATCAGAGGATAAATAATTGAATCACAGTATATATTACTATATCTTAAATAACGTTATTTCAGCTGTTTAGTCTTATTTTTAGCTTCCTCATTATTAAGATTTATACCATTAACTTATAATTAATCAGAATAAAGCCCAAACAGCATCGACGTTATCTTCTGTTTATATAGTTATACCCGGTATATGCGTTAAATAATTATGTATTAGTAAATATCAATCGATTAAGAAAGTATTGACATATATCTTATTCACAAGATAACAAAAGATATTTTAATGCAATTTATAGCTGTATTTATCATTTACTAACCAGCGCTTATATATTACAAGGGAAAAAGGAAATCGAAAAAACAAATGGGAATGTGATATTAATTTAACGATATGTCGCTTAATATTTTAATTTTAATAAGGAATGATTGAATTGTACCATAACATCTAAAATTATACTTGGATACGGTTTACATTAGAAAATGTAATCAAAATGTGACTTTAATTTATCGTAATTTATGTAAAAATATGACGTAGATTTATCCAAAACGATACATATATATATATATAAATTAATTTTTCCTTTTTGCTCATTGTCATTACATGTAACTAGCACATAGATACACAATTATAGTCACCATAGGCATAATTCGATAAATTGTGTCATTTTACACATGGAATATAGATTATCGTTAATGATATTGAATCATGATCAAGATGCGACAAACTAATATTCAAAGATTCCTTTACTTCCCCCCTTAGTTGTAATAGTTATTCGTTAGTACTAAGTTTTCGATAAACATGTCTTCGTCGATGGCGAGAGAAAAGGAAATACATTATTACTGTTGAAATTATGATCATTATTACAACAAGGCCAAATCCAATAGCAATGCTATCAATTATATGTATAGTAATAGACACAGACACCCACTTCGGACTTGCATTCGTTAACATTGTCGTTGTTAATAAATGAGGCGATTGATTGCTAAGAGAATTCCAGTATAAATATACTGATATTAAGCCAAACGCTATTGAAGTTCTATGCTGATAGCAACCATCTACGATTTTTGTAAAAAAAATAAGCAGAGAAATTGCTATGGTAATCTAGAATATCATTTTAGACCATACCACATTAAATTAAAAGTATAAAGTATGCTATTGCTTCTAATGCACTATAAGTATATAAAATTACTTGTAATAAACTCTACTAATTCAGTATATTTCAATATAGCCATTAGAATTTAAGATTGAATAGTATTTTTTAATGCGGCATAATGTGTTATCTGTCTCTTCAGTTCCTATTGAGTAATATAAAATTACTAGAGACAAAACTACACGAACTCAATATTAATCATACGTAACCTATCTGCTAGAACTGAATACTAAATAATATTTGCTAATATGACGTCAAATAACTATTGTGACGATAGATTAAGTAAAAAGTTAAATAATGTAGTTAAGAGCTACAATATCTTTGATTCAGTAACCTAAATAACTCAAACTGACAAAAGGATTCACCTCATCATACTATATCGAGACCTAATTACTTGTGACAAACTATACTAACTCGATATTGCTCACAGGTAGCTTACCTATTAGAATGAGGATTAAATAACAGTTGCTAATATATTATTAAATAATTATTATCATGACGGCATATGATTAAGTAAGAGACTTAAATAATACAGTTAGCAGGTATATCTTTGATTCAGTAAGCTAAATAACACAAATTGACTAAAGGTTCACATCATCTTTCTATATTTCGTATCGAGATCTAGTTCAATGATTAATAGCAACAAATTTCTACCTGGTGTAATCAGGTTTGTCCGTAATTGATGGGATGACGATAAATAATGGCCAGCATTTCTAGTGCGACTATGAAAAAGAAGTATAATGGATGATTCTTTATCACGATATTGCAATAGTCAACATGTATTAGTTTACAAGAAAGAAAATTTACATCACTTTACGCAGAAAGTCGGATTTAGTACTTATCAAAGCTGATATGATCTATGCTAATTTAAATATTAATTTAAATACTATCACCCTAATAATGGCATACTTTACGATAAATTTAGGATGTAAACTGACGAATGGACCATAATATGGAGTAAAACATCCGTCTTTCGTTTGCCATTTTAAAATCATCGATAAATATTGTGGTTTTAAAAATTGCTCGTAACCACCCAAACCTCCACATACGAAAATTTGTTCTAAAAACAGATCCTGTATCTGGATATTTTTTAGGCCTTTCTTTAATTCCTTTTGCATTTGATGATAAACCTGAGTGCATAATATTTGTTTCACTCTTTGAATTCCTCCTGAATTTTTAGCTAATTTGTTCAATTTATCGGTACAGTTCAATTGTTGGCCATGGAAAATTGTTAGCAATTGATGAGTGATACTATAATAGCCACTGTGATAGTTGGTAATCCCTGCCCAGCAAGTATCTTCATCAATGAAAATCAATTTGAGTTTAGATTTACGTAAAGTTTAATTAAACTGTTTTTATTTACGCTTATTTCAAAGCTGACAAGAAGTAGAAGAAATGTAAGATTATTTTATGTAGGTGTCTACAGCTATGTTTAATTTACAAATGATATCAAAAATTTACCACTTATCGTGCATACGGGCAGATGGACCTTTTTCGAGCCTATAATGGACATTATACATATATCTGAAATGTTCATATAACCCGAAAATTCGGATAACGTTTCATCGCTGCTGACATTATAGAGTTCAGTAAAATCTAGCTTAACCAGTTGTTTAGCTACCGGAACTGGTTTCTGTACGATTTTTTGAAGACTAGAATACGGAGTGGAATTATTTGCTAATATTGGTTTAATTCGTTTTGATACAGCCACGATCCTGTTATAAATTCGCTCCACACGGTTAATTTGTTGAGGATTTAACGTTGACACTCCATTACGATAATCCTTAATGGTAGCTAGTATAAAATCTTCAAAAATAAAATATTTTATGATGATTTAAAATTTTGTTCAAGGTGTTCCATGTTTTAAGGAAGAATAAACAGAATTCTTAAGGTTAAATCGAGCATAGTAAGATTTTAAATTTCAATATACGAGCTTATACTTATATTACAAAAAGTAGGATGAAAATTGACCTTTACTGAAGGCTTTTGAAACTGTTATACTATATCTAAATTATAACTAGTTAATACACATCTCTTACAAGAGGATCAAGTGAAATGAAAGATGTTAACGAAATACGGAAACATGGGGTAATTTCGTAAACTGGTAACAAATTTTTATCATCTTTGGTGATTGTTTCTAAATGATTCTTAACGAATGCTAAGAACGATGCCAATCGATCCCATATACGTTGATCGCTTTGCTGAAATACTATAAATATGTACCAGTAAAAATTTGAAATTTGTAATTTTACCAATGATGCATTAGGAATTCTGGATGGTTCTGTCATGGACTACCTAACTAGACACATCATGGATAAATCTAGTAGTCCATGATTCTGTCCAATCGAAATGAGTATTAACAGTAAATAACTATCATAAATGAACCAAAAATAGGTAGAGTAATAATTTAATGAAAGATGATTATCGTACGGAGTTCGGTAGAACAATTTGGGATGTCTATGGCAATTTTTTACAATAATTTAATAGTACTACTGGATTACACCCATACTTTATGCAGAAGTTTCCTGTGCCATCATTCATCATTGAGTAACTACAATTATATAATCAGTGCCTGTATATCTTCTGTATAGTTCATGCTGTATTATCACAAAATTTAAATAAATATTTTAGTTTATTTGTTAAAGATTTGGCGATAGATAACATTTTCGACTATACACGATAAAAGTACTATTGAAGAAGGATTATGGCGAACCAGTGATACTGTATACTGTATTTTCATAAACGCTTAATCAATAAAAATCTAACTTTTGCGAATACGCATTATGTGCAAAATCCAAATGAATTATTTTAATACACGTATAACAAGGATACTGTACAGTAATAGTCAGAAATGATTTTTATCCATTTTAGTTAGTATGAATGAGCGAAGGTGATTCAATTATATTGCTCTAAAGTGTATTTTAAAACTGATGCAGTTATATTTCAGGACTTTATGGCCCTCTTAGTCTTGAATAAGAGTATATCGGTGACTAATTTCATTACAAGCTAGATGATAACGATTTATCTTCAATATCGTTTATATACCATTGGAGTCAGCGTTAAGTCAGCTGTCTTTCATCTATCATAGAAATTTTCTTGCAAAATTCACTGAGTTACTAATCATTTTAATTATTATTCATTAGTGTCTCTGTATTCGGTAGCTGATAATGCAATCCTTTACATGTTAACTACTAAGAAAAGCGAGAAAATTTAGAACAACGTTTCACGCAGTAAGTAATTTTTTGCTGATTTAGTTATATTACGGTAAGCTGGTTACGATTAATTTTACATGCGTTAATGATTCTAACTTAAAACCATACGAAAACTGACACTGTAAAACTTACATTATATGCTTTTACCACTTTTAGTAGCCTAAATAAAGGAGGTATGACTTAGTCTAAGGTAAATTTACATAAATAATCCCTATGGATTTACGATTTTCTACCATTTTAGCTTGATGTTAGTTTTCTAAACCACTCACTATGGATTTGAAACTGTACTCTAATTCCATGGAGACTACGATTACAATCGTCTTGATAATAGTTTACTTGCAAAGTGTTTACGATGTTTACGACTAACAATATAACTAAACGTATTTACTACAATCATATACCAGTACTAAATTGATTTGATATCGACAAGTTATTAAAATTATTTAATTGAGGGTCAAAATATCAATTCCTGTGTTAATCTTAATAAATATATAGCAGTAATTAACTATATAATATTACGTAGGATCGTTAGAAAGAGTAAACTTTTCGTCATTATAATTTAAAACACCTTCAATTTTCATACATTTGTTTGCCAGATCCGTGCTACTAGCTAGATAACTATCAATTTAAAGATTGAAATAATACCTTCGCTTCTGATGAGTCCATAATACGCGTCAAATATGATGGATTGATAATGTTTCTCGTAGTAGTAAATCAATCCTTCTAATGATTTAATTATTTGATCATTAGCTGGAATAGGATAATGATAACTTTTTACAAAAGTTGCAGCGTCTGTGTTAGCGATATGAACAGCCAAAAACAGCAAAAAAAGTAAATTTATGCCAATTATCGTTGTTGATTTCTTGATATTCATCTAATTTTGGGGAGAATACAAGTTTCAAGTTACTTTGTATGAATTATTACTAATAAATGAAATTGAAGTTTTTAGATAATATTAAGATGCATATCTAATTAATCATGTAAAAGTCTAATCTACCAAGATACGACACCATACCTTCCGTAGGAGTTGGCTATCTTTGGAAGTTTACGGAATGTGAGAACGATCCAACAACGTTGGTAGCTGTAACTTACACTATCGAACTGTAAACTATAAGATCATAAAACTATGAGTGTATTATGTACTCCATAGACACATCAAGCTATTTAAAGTATTTTATTGCTATAGGTACATTTTAGCAGAAGATGATGTACCAGGAAAGCTAACTATCGACAGGTGGTGTTGATCAAAAGTTAATCGAAATGGGTCGTAGATGGAATAACTATCGTGCTAGATAAATTGATATTCAGATAATTGTAACGAGCTTTTGATCTAATTATTGAAGACATACAAAAGTAAGACAGTATTATAATCGGTATATAGGATAACAATTAGTCTTCTACTTTATACTGAATGAAAACTATTCATAAAGATTTTATTAATGAAGAATTAGCCGAAGGGCATCTTATTTTAATTAACGTATTCAATCACGAATAATACCCTAAAACTTTTATTCTCCCTATAAGTAATTCTTCAATTGTTAAACCAACAATTCTGTTCCAGCTTTTATTCTTCTTATATCAATTTTATTTGTAACTATTCATTAGCTAATATTAATAGCATGTTCACGTGATATTAATAAATAATTCAAGTACTTTTTAACGTCGATTAATTATCATCGATATCAAGCCTAATCCTTGAATGATTTTATTGGCACCAGTTGAATTATTCCATTCTAGTGTAAAATGCTGGCGCAACTTTCAGCTGTACTTGGTAATCGATCAAATATCGACCATAAGATACGGTTCAATTACAAATTCGAAAAGTCTATTTTATGAATCACACGTCCTTTTACCATGAGCCATCAGGTTCTATCCTACTATAAGTATTTAATTTGTCATTTAGAATTGATATATAAATCAATTGTACATACTTCATATTGGCTTACCAAACTGGCTAAAGAAGAAAAAGTTTTACTCGTATTAATAATTGCTATTTACGGAGTTATCCAGTATCATAACTATCAATAAACCCTCGCAATCACTCATGATTGCGAAAGAAAATCTCTTCGCTTAAAAGGATTAATTTATTGGACATGATATCAATGTCATAGAAGGACAAATTGTCAAGGGAAGGCTTTAATAAATAGACTACTTAGATTACTATGAATAAACATCGCTATTCCAACTGCCTTGATAAAGTATTGCATGCTGCTTAATTAAATAGATAATATTGACTGACAGTTAGATTATAGGTAAACATTTAAGTAAGTGTAAATCGATGGAAACGATATAAACATTAGATATCTTGCGCTACAGTACATAAATAAAATGTCAATTAAATACGGTCTGACGATATTGTTATTTAGTGAGAAATAGAATTGTTTCAAATGAATAAGTGCTATTCCTATCTCCATATTAGTGGTTGAAAGTGTAACATCAATCCAATAGGATAATATTTAACATATTATATGTAAGAAATTAAAGTCTTATAACTTAATTCATATCCAAAAGTTTTAAAAGTAATTAATTGTGCCAGCTATTCTTCACATTTAAATTTATTTCGTTTTGGTACAAATTAATCCGTATCGTAACAATTTAAACAGGTTTAAATATACCTTGAATAGAGAGTCATATTTATGTATAGCAATTACAAAATTAGTTTTAGAATTAATTATCCTTGTCAATAATACATGTAAAAGGTCTTGATATAGAAAATGATAATAACTGAATCCGGTAAATTGCATCCTTTTCTATATATTCAATTTCATTAACTACAGTGAACCACGATCGATATATGAGAAGCTAATACTTATTAATTACAGCCTTAATTTCCCTTGCCACTAGTAAATTTTATTCTTCATAGTTAAGTTTATGATAAGGATAGGCTTTACCACGAAAGGGGCATATATAGTACATGGTTAAAATAATAACGAAGACCATAATGACCGCTAATCCAATTGCAATGATTCCAAATACAGTAAATGCTAGAAATAGCCTCCTACTACTTGTATCTTGTCGATGTCAATGTAGTCATAGTTGATAAATGCAATGATTGCTTTTTATGCGAATTCCAATATAAATATATCGATACATCAATCAAAGCTACTGAAGTTCTATGTTCATAACAACCATCTAGAATTTTTGAAAGGAAGAAACATAATCATTTACAATACTAATTTAAGATATCTTTCTATAGCATATTGTGCTAACAATATAAAATTTATGGCTCCTAATATTAATACTAAATGATCATATGCAATTACTAGCGATATGCCTGCCTAATTCATAATATACTCTATTTAGTGGGGTTGAAGGATGTTATACAAGATCTAGTATTATTTAAAATGGCCAGCGTGCTGATATGCTAAGCAAATCAGTTAAATAGCACAAATAATAACTATAGTAAATCTAAACAAAAGCTATAATATCATGAAAATTTAATTACAAAACTCGCAATTCAATTCTACAGAAATTTTCATAGATAATACTAATTTAAACGCGTTACATATCAATAGTTAAAGAGAAAAAGCTGTAATTTTCCTAGTCTAATTTTACCTGGTGTAATCAGATTTGTTCGTAGTTCATCAGTTGCAGAAGAATATTGGCTGCTATCTCGAGTATAACTATGCAACATTATATAATAAAGGACTCGTTATAAGTTTTTAATACTTGACATATGTTAGTTCTTATGATTGAAAATTTATAGTAATCATCCCTACTTTAATTCGATATAATTTATGGCTAGTGTGATAGTATTAGCTATTTTAATATAGTAGCAACATACTTTTTATTGAATTTGGGGTGCAAACTAATAAATGGACCATAATATGGTATAAAGCAGCCTGCTTTAGTTTGCCATTTTAACATCATCGATAAATATTGTGCTTTCAGAAATTGTTGATAGCCAATCCAGCCTCCACATACAAAAATTTGTTCTAGAAATAGATCCTGCATCTGGATATTCTTCAATCCTTTCTTTAATTCTTTCTGCATTTGATAATAAATTTGAGTACATAGTACTTCTTTTACTTTTTGAATTCCTCCTAAGTTTTTAGCTAATTTATTCATTTTCTCTGTGCAATTCAATCGCTGGCCATTGAGAATAGTTATCAATTGATGTGTGATTCCATAATAACCTCCATGGTAGTTGGTAATGCCTGTCCAGCAAGTATCTTTCAGCAATGGAAAAAAACCAATTGAATTTGGATTGTATATATATACAGGTTGCAAGTAATGGCATACATCAACGAAAATCAATAAATGGCAAAAATATGTCACGCATGTATAATGTAACTCTATCTGTATTGAACTTATAATATTGAATCTGTAGTAAAATCAAAAATAAAATTCAACAAACGGCCAAAATATTTTATCTATGTATAATGTAACTATATCTGTGTTGAATTTATAACATTGAATCTACAATAAAATTAAGAATTAAAATCAACAAACCGCAAAAATACGTTATATATGTCACGTATATATAACGTAACTACAGTAGTATTGAATTTGTAATATTGAATCTATAATAAAATCAAGAACTTACCACTAATTGTGCACGGTGCTACATGGAGAGCTTTTGAGCCTATGATATTTCCTATACACCAATCTGAAATATTCATATAGCCCGATTTTGGAGATAAAATTTCGTCACTGCTGACATTGTAAAGTTTAGTAAAATTCAGCTTAACCAATCGTTTCGGTACTGGAAGTGACCCTTGTACTATTTTACCAATTGTGTTGTATGCCATAGAGTTATTTGCCAATATAGGTTCAATCCGTTTTGAAACAGCAATAATTCTCTGATAGATTTGTTGTACACGATTAATTTGCTGAGTATTTAAAGTAGATAATCCATCATGGTAATTCTTAATGGTCGCTCGAATAAAACCTTGAGTAAATAAAATCAAATTTAATCAAATTACTTGATGTAAGATAGACTTTAATAGCTAAAGTATCATGATATAAAACATAACAAAATACGCTGCAACTTTTTTCAGTATATTGTAATGTAATTTTTGATAATTTAATATTTAAGTGTTATATTTTATTGTAAGAATAT